TACATTGATTTCAATGAAAATTTAAAAAAATTGTTAGGTTTTAAAAATTATTATCTTGGAGAAGGTGATGAATTATTTGATAATTTTAATTTATATGAAAATTTCGAATCTCAAAAAAGACATATAAGAGATTACGAACCTGGAATATTGAAAACAACACTTAGTGAAAGAAATGAAATAATAAGTGATATTCGCCCTTTAAGTATTACAAGAAATATAAATTATTTTATAGTTTATTGTAATTTAATTATAGATTCAAATTATCAAAATAAAAAAACTAATATTTTAAGAATAATTCCAACAAACTGTACCGAAAAAGAAGAAGTTATTAAATATGATTTTAATATTAAAAATTTTATTCCTTTAAAATATAATCAATTTAACTCAATTAATTTGCGAATAACAGATGAAGAAAATAATGTATTAACTTTTCGTAGAGGAAAAATTTTTGCTACTATAATTATAAGACCACATTATCATTTATAATTTAGTTCTGTAAAAGTTATCAATATGTTTACATGTTTAAAATAATGGATTATAGTTCTTATTATTGTGCTCAAGCAAAAAGTAATCAAAAAGGCGCAGGTATACCAATTCAAGGTATTAATCAAATAGAGCCATCAAATATTGATTTCTTACCTCAAAAATCAAAAAGTGTTAAAACAAAAAAATTAATTAATAAAACACGCTTAATTAAAACAAAAAATTCTTCAAATAAATTAATAAAAAAACGACCATCAAAAAAGTTAAAGAAAAAAAGAATTATTAAAAGAAAGAAAACGCGGAAACTAAATATTTTTAATTAAAAATGGCAACAGAAATTTTGAAAGAAGAATTAAATTTGTTTGAAAAAGTTAAATTCCAAGGAGCTATTGAAAGTCAACAATTACTTGAATACCGACCAAAATCAAATGTTCTTGAATCAAATACAATTGATTTTGAAATTCAGGCATCAGCTGACGAATATATTGATATGCAAAATATTTATTTAATGCTAACATGTAAACTAACAAATAGAGATGGGACAAACTTTGCAGCGGCAATTAATAATTTTGCCCCAACAAATTATATTTTAAATACATCATTTGATCAACTAGCAATTTACTTAGGCTCTACATTAGTTAGTCAGGCAGCCCAAAATTATAATTATATGTCATTTATTGAAGCCGTTACTAAACAATCAAATTATTCAAATGGAAGTGTAACACCGTCAGGATTTGTTACAACATTTTGGACACCAGCTTATAACTACGAAAATCCAAATGAACATTTAGTAACGTTATGTAATTCTAGTAAATCAATGCAATTTTATGGAAAATTACATGGGCCAATTTTTTCATCAAATAAATTACTTATTAGTGGTGTACCTATTAAATTAGAGTTTACTAAAGCAAATGAAAGATGGCCAACAGTTTCAGAACAAGCAGCAATGACAGCAGATCAATATCCATTATTAAAAATTACCGATATGAGTATTTTTGCTAGGAAAGTAAAAGTAACACCAAGTTTACTTAATGCACACGCACAAGCATTAAGAATATCTAATGCACTATATCCAGTAAAACGACCTAATATTAAAGTAATTAATTTGACACAAGGACAATCATCTTTTAATATAGATAATTTATTTCTCGGACAATTGCCTAGTAAAATTATATTAGGAATGGTAGATGATGCTGCTTATAGAGGAAATAGTTACAGAGATCCTTTAAGATTTCAGAATTTTAATTTGAATCATTTAGTTTTGAATGTTAATGGAGAAATGGTTCCAAAAATACCATATCAACCAAATTATACAACTGATTTATTTTCTAGAGAATATCATGATTTATTGTTAAATTTGGGTTATAACTTTGTTAATAATCCATCACCAATTGATGTCAAAAATTATAAAAATGGTTTATGTTTATATGCATTTAATTTAAATAATGATTTTAGCTTTACAGACAAATACATTAATTTACCTAAAAGTGGATATATTAATGTACATTTAAAATTTTCAGAAAATTTAGCTAACGCTATTAAATTAATTTGTTATGCTGTATTTGATAATACTATTGAAATTGATGAAAATAGAAATATAACTACTGATTATTAAACATGAACACATTTGATTTATTAAGTTTTATTAATAAAGATAAAATTATAAAAAATCAATTTTGTGGGATTTTAGCATTAGATAAAATAGCTCATTTGAAAGCTAATAAACCTTGTGCTTTTATTGTTAACACACACAAATCAACACAACCTGGTGAGCATTGGTTAGCAATTTATGTTCCAATCACCGGGCCTATTGAATATTTTGATTCATTTGGTAAAAAACCTTATCATAAAGAAATATATACTTTTATAAAATTAAATGGTAACAAATTTATATTTAATCATATACCTTTACAACATATTTTTTCTACTACATGTGGCTATTATTCACTTTTTTATTTATTACTTCGAGCAAGAAATTATAGTATTAAAAATATATTAAACTTTTTCTTACGTAACAGATTTTTAAATGATAAAATAATTATAAAAATATTTAATAAAATTAAAAAATGAAATCTGTTCGATTTAATGATGATGTAAAAGTCAAAACAATGTATGTTTAGACATATGCTTCAAAACAAGCAAGAATTTCTAATTGGCATTGGATAATATTTAATAGACGTATTTTTGAAAATAAATGTAAACTTATTGAAGAAAATATTTCATATGTATTAAATAATGAATTTCGTAATAAAATATATTGTGAACGTTTTTTATAAATAAAATAAACACATATATATATATTATTTATTTCAATTTTAACATAACATATTGATGATTTTTGTAGTTTAACTTAATAAAAATTTATTAATTTTATATTATTGAAAATTAATTACTAATTAGCTAATTAATTACCTGAGGCCTGTAATATAACACAACATATAACAATCAAAGAACAAGTAGTAGATCGGGACGGGATTCACACTATATTAATATCCCGATTACTAACAAAAATTATGTTAAAAATAGTATATTTTGGAAAGGATTAAAATATTGTAACGCTTTACCATTGGATGTGAGAAAAAGCAAAAATTTAAATCAATTTATTAATCATTTAAAGACATTTGATTTTAACAATATTTAATTATTTTATTTATATATATATTTGTTATTACTTTTATCTTTTTTATGTAATTTTAACTTTAGTTTATTTGGGCATTCAATGTATACCAGTTTTTTACTGAATGATTTGCCAATAAAGACATTATTATTATTATTATTAAATTTATACAGATTAGAAATGTTCAATAATAATAATATATACATTTTTATTTTATATTTAGTAAAGTCATAATAAAAACAAAATATAATATTGTAACGGAATAATAATAGATCACTTAAAAGAATAAGTAAAACTACTTAAATTATAAATTTAATTACTTATATAACTTCTCATATGTATTACGTGTGTAGATGTTTTAACTACAATTTATAATGTATTAAATACATAGTTTAATATGAGTTATGTATTCCCATAGAAATAACATTAACGGGTTATTTACTATTATAAAGTATGTATTTAGTATACCCATAGGAATTACATTAGCGGCATATTCACTATTATAAATATGGGTTTAATATTGCCATAGAAATAACATCAGCTATACTTTAACATACAAACATATAGGTTTAGTTTGTGACACATATAGTGTCAGTAAATGTAGTGACGCACTTGCGTTTCAGTGAATACTATTTAACTATTGGTTTAAACATTTTATATAGAGGGGTCAACAAGGGTTTTTATTTCCTATACTTTAACATTAATGAATTAATTAATTTTTAAGTATACTTGTTTACTGTATTTTAATGCAAATGAGAATTTGCCTTTAGGTGGTAGTGTGCGACTGACTAAAAATAGGCAGAGTTTAGATAAGCCAATAGAGTACAAGTAGTAGTGTATGAAAAAGTTGTCATCAAATATGAAAGCAGAGTTGAACAGTTTGCGCGCGCATAGGCAGTGGCCTATGCAGCGCTCAAACTGCAATTCTCTCAGTCGAGAGAAACGCTCGACAGAAGTGATCTGACTCTCAGACCGAGTGGTTGTACGTCTACTACTGTGCAATACATGTATTGTATTGTATTACACTGTATTTGTATTTTATATAATGTGTTTTAAAATAAACTAATTTTGTTTTAAGTACCGTGTATTGATTGGGCCTGTGGCCCACACTATCAACTACTCTATAACTTCTCTTCATCTCTGGGCTCTCTTGCCTATCGTACAGTACTGGCGTATTTGAGACTACGATTGTTGCCGATAATTTCCCGTGTGATAGGCAACACTGACCGATTGGTTCCCGCACCGCTTCATTGACTGTCGTACCGTTGGTGGCCATACCATTTCACTGTCATACCGTTGGCTGCTGTACCACTGACTGTCGTACCGCTGGTGGCCATACTATTTGATTGCCATACCGTTGACTACTGTACCATTGATAATCGTACCATTGACTGCTGTTCCATTGGCCACCGTACCATTGATGTCATCACATTGACAGCCGTACCATTGATGCCATACTATTGACTGTCGTATTATTGACTGACTGCACCACTGGCTCCACATCCAACTCTGGCTCATCAAACAAATACATAGTTCAGTCTAATTTAATTACTGTATTGTGTGGACACCGAAGGACCAGACGTTGTCCACATCCACATCACCATAGCGCTGTTGGCACCGTACTATTCGTTCAACACACTGGCCGATACAGCTCCGCTCAGTTCATTGGCCGATACAGCACCGCTCAGTTCATTGGCCGTCACAGCACCGCTCAGTTCATTGGCCGTCACAGCACCGCTCAATACATTGGCCGTCACAGTACCGCTCAATACATTGACCGTCACACCGTTCTTATTGTTTGGCTCATCAAAGCCGTCACCGCTCAACGCCAGATCCATACTGTGGTCTCAGATGTCCTCAACTACATGGGTGTCGGCGCTAACTAATCGCTAGGACCGACGACACTGGTGCCGATAACGTCAAGATCAGCGCCGGTCACCTCAACTAACCTATCCAACCATTTCAATATTAAACAAAACATATTTAGTTTGATTGAATAGTCACCACTAATACCGCACTCACGGTTCCAATCGTTGAATATAACACTATTGGTTAGTGAATAAAACTGGTCAACGGGACAGTCGACTGATGTACAGTTGGGTAGTTTTAACAAATATGGACAGACCTTATTATCGTCCAGTGTTTCATTATAGTAATATAATCTAACAAAATATCCCTTTCCATTGATAGCACCCAACTGTTGATGCAATTCGACTATAAGGGACGACCCAAATGGTATTAATAGGTCATTCCATACATTCAATGCTGACAATAAAAAACTTAACTTTATGTCATGCGTTGAATATAAATACAGTTTATAGTTATACGGTTTACTAGTTGTCCCATTGATGCTCTCCTTTATATTATTGACTAACTCCTTAACCAATGGACCGCCACCTGTCTTTTTTAGCACCTGATCGCTATATTTGATTTTCTTAAACTTACTGACCATCTCATTCAACTTATCAACAATTGCTTTATCATCACTGGACGGCCACATGCTATGGTTAGACCAAAAATATTTTCTTGAATATTCTATGGTTAGAGTATCCCTTAAATTATCGATAACTACTGGATCATTGAGCTGTCGGCCCACAGTTTTTCCTAACTTATCTAAAAACTCTGTTTCCTTTTTTATCAAACTCATAACTCTATTGCTTTTCAAGTAATTATTATTATAAGCTTCTTTAGCTTTGGGACAGTAGTGACCTACGCGTAGCAATGTATCGTTATCTATGAGCTCTGCCGGATAGGTATATATGGGAAACGGCTGCCAATTACTGCCCAACTGAGCGCCGGTCGATATATTCCATTGCCATTTAGCAGTGGTCGGTGGATAAGCACCGGCCAACAACAATTGTACCGATTCCAGGCAACGGTCAGCAGCCGAACTACGGGCATACACTTCACGGGGACTGTACTGTGAGCCCAGGTAGTCAGCATACGCTTGTCGTACAAACTGTCCAATCCGGTACATACGGTACTTGCCTTTATTGGTTAGCTCAGTGTCTCCTTCATACCAATACTTTTGTTGGTCACGGAACGGGTCATTTGGAAAAATAAAATTACTGGGATTTCGGTCGCCGTGTCGGTGAACTATTTGCAATAATTTCAATGTCTCTATTGAATGGTTAGTCCAGTTGTTTACTTGAACTACTGTTTCAATAAAATATTGATTTAGTAATACAAATAATATTACTATTAGTAAATATTTTCTATACATTTCTACAATTTTTAATAAAAAAACAATTGCTTGCTATTGTTTTGGAAAGTATTACTTGTATTTTTTAAAAAATATTAATTTTAATTAATTAATAAAGTTATTTAAAACACATTTTATTATTTAAAAAAATTTAATTAAGTCGATTACAACTATACTTTATAAAAAATTAATTATCATTATTAGAAAAAAAAGTTATAATTAGCTTTATATATTGCAATACTATAAGAAAATTAATTTATTTAATAAAAAATATATATAAAATAAAAGATTTGTAAATTAATAAAATAAGACTAATAACTAATAATTTTTTATAATTTCAATTGAATACAAACTTTTTAAAAATTTTACTACAAAATTAATTTTCTTAATTGAGATTTTATCACTTTATTCATATGATTGACGGGCATTGAGTCGACTATTTTGATGCCACCTCTCAGTCGTTTATGATCACTGACTCGTTTGTCCACATAATCCATAAGCTCCTCTTCACTAACTGATACGCTATCGTCGACAGTAACAAAAGCCATGGGAACGCTACCTAATAGATCGTCATCGATACCGATGACAGCCGCTTTCATCACATACCGGTGCTCGCTTAATACATTTTCCAATTCAGATGGCATTACATTATTACCTAGATTAGAAAATATTAGATTTAAAAATATTAATTGAATATTTATATAATATAATAATAATAAGTATATATTTCACAAAAAATATCAACAATTTTTTGTTACCATAAACTTTAATGATATCTTTGGATCGGCCAACTATATAGACATTATGATTATCATCGTAATAGCCAATGTCACCAGTTATGACATAACCATCGTTAGTCAACAAATTGTTAGTTTGCTCCGGGTCATTTAAATATCCAAGTGTTGCCTAAATTTTTTTTTAAAAAATACATAAACGTAAAATATTTTAGTATTTGTTTAATTTTTTGTTTGTTTATTTTATAAATTTATAACTTTACCGCTAATCCCGAAACGTATAGTTTTCCAAATGAATTGGCCGGCAGTGGCGAACCCGAATCGTTTAATATTTTTATCCGCAAATTTGGACAAACTTTGCCCACATAGCCGACAGTAGACCGATATTTATTGTTATCGATATCAGGCGGTGATTGACATATAAATCCCATTTCCGACATACCGTAAACTGTGTGGACAATAAAAATATGATTTATTTTACACATTTAAAAAAATTATCATTAATGTATAAATAACATACCCATTAATATATTGTCAATATTATAATATTGTTTAACACTTTTATAAATGTTATAATTTAAAAAATCACCAGCAACATATAGACATTTTAAACTACCCAGATATTCACTAGTATATTTATCCATATTTTTGACTAAATAGCTTAAATAGGCCGGTGTCATAAACGCTTGACTAATCCGATAGTTGTGTATACATTGATAAATGTCATCCATACTGTCCTCACTACGTAGCACTGCTACCGGTGTCGACATAACAATAGCCCGGATCAATGTTTCGTGACCACTGGAATGAAATATACTGTCGCTTAGGTAGATATCATTTGACTGTCCTCCAGATGTTTGTGGTATCATATTTGGTTGTATTAGGCACTCGATGACTGACAAATAGATTTTGTTTGTCCTAATTATGGCTTTCGGTTGACCAGTTGTACCGCTTGACATGAAATATGTTACGTGATTGTCAGGTTCAGTGTGCACAGGTAGCTTAACTACAGCACTGGTAGTTTTTGAAAGTTTCAAACAAATTTCTTCTACCGATTTAATTATGCTATTATTAATAATGTTATTATTGTTATTAATAATATTATTGTGATTGGGTCCATTTACAGTTTCAAGCATAGTCATCATAGTCTATAAAAAAAATTAATCAGTTATAATATTTAATATACTAAAATTAATTAATGTTTAAAAAATAACCTTGATAAATGTAAAATTGTCTTTCTCATTGACAATAGCATCCAGGTATCTATTGGGACAAACTATAAACTTTGGTTTCATTTTCATAATACTAGCTTTAAATTCATCTAAAATATTTACAGCAACAAAAAATAATAAACAAAAATTATTATATATTTTTCAATAGTTAACAGTTAGTAATTTGTTATATAAAAAAATAACTAAAGCATACATATTGTTATGGATTCAGACAATGAATAACAGGTTAGACCGGCCATCAGTGCCCCAAATATGGCCATCACATGGATGTCACTGTTGTAGCCGACAAAACCAATACAATCACCTTTGATTGCATGACATTCACTGATCAAATAGTTGGCAAACTTGACCGATCCGTTCAGCACCTGGCGTTTTGTCCATTTTCTATCAATCGTACAGTCAATCTGTTTGTATAGTTTTTATTTATTTATTGAGTTTAATATAATTAGTAAATTTATTTTATAGCAAATATATATTATACATACCAGACAAATGTCATCGGGATTTGACTTTAAACTATCAATTATTAGCTCAATAAGTGTTTCATAATTACTGAGACTTTTATCAATTATATAATCAGATTTAATAATATTTTCAGTCATTTTGAATAATTAAAAATTATTTTAAAAATAAGTTACAGTTTTAGATATAAGATATTAATATTTTAATAACAATTATACTACTTCACTACTAATACTAATAATGCTAATAATTTTTAGTCACTTTAAATAAAATAATTGGAAATTTTTAATTTATATTATAATATTTACATTTACTGTATTATTAATCTTATAAAAATAATAGAAAATGTTATCAATAGTAAAACTAGTTTATTTGAAAATAAGTTGTATTTATATTTTTATTTATAGTATATTTGAAACATATTATTAGTAATTTACTACAATTTAAATGACATTTGATTAGCCGCCTGAGGATGCATTTTATTGTATTTAAATAATAAAATAAAATTATATTTTAATTTAATGTTTTTTATGTCAGAGCACATAATTATAAATTTTATTTGATTACCACAATTATTACTAGTCTCCAATGATGTCAATTGTGGTAAATAAATAAAATTTTTATAAAATTATATTTATTCTATAGAAAAAATATTGCAATATATTGTTATCTTATATTAACAAAAATACCAAAATTGTGTTATTTAGTAGTAATTTGTAGTAGTAGTAGTAGTAGTATTCAAAATAAATAATAATTTTGCATTAATCCTAAATAGTAAGTGATTATAAATTATAAATATAATACAATGTGAAACATAAAAAGCCAGGATGTTTCATTTTAAAAATGAAATTTTACAATAAATATAAAAAAATTATAATATTATTTTTTAAAAAAAATTGTAAATTAATGATTAATGTACGGCATTCAATTGTCTTAATTGTGTTAATTTTTACAAACATATATAATAATACTAATACTAAATGCCATACTTAGTAACAAATTTACTTGGTGATTTGTAATTTATTATATATAAGCATAAGCAGTTTAAAAAAAATAAAACTACATTTTTAAAAATTGTAACATCCTGGCACTATACTGAATTAATAAATGATTATTTAAAGATTATTTATATGTAAAAATAAATCAGTATATTTATGGAAAAAAAGTGTAATATTTATTAGTAAAAATATTTATTTAAAAGCTTATATTTTTTAAAAATTGTCCTTGTACTTATTGCTATGCAATTATTTCATGAATTTAAAGTTATAATTTTAAACTATGACTAAGTTGTCGATAATGATAATGTTGATTGATAAATAATTATTTTATTTTGATATTATTTTTGATATTATTATTATTATCATCAATTATATTATGATATAATCAATTATGCTGATAATACAATTTTTAAAAATTGAATTTTTTTATTAAAAATAAAACAAAAATTTATTTCTATTAAATATAATTTTAACTTTTTATTCTAACAATCTATATAATTATTAGAGAAAATAAATAAATATTATATTAAATAATTATTAATTATTTGTATTTTATAACAAATAAATGATATCATAGTAATCTATCTTAATTATAAAAATTAAATAGATAATCAAAAAGCCAATATATGTTTTTGCATAAATGCTAATTTAAATTAACAAATAAAATGTATAAATAATTTAAAGAAATCATATAAAATAAGTAAATAATTACCTAATAATTTCAATTTTAAAATCATTTTATTTATTTTTGGTTTTAGATAATAATACTTTATATATATATTTCAAGTTCTCAAACACTATCTAAAAAATAAATTATTAATAAAACTATTGTATTTTTTAATGTATGTTTTAAAAAAATATATTTTTGACACTTATCCAATAAATAGAAAATGCATAAATAAATAAATATAGATATAATAGATATGATTGTAAAATTAGCATTTTTGTTAACATTAAGCTATTGTTGAAATATTTGCATTGCTTGATGATATATTTATATTGTTTGCTGATGATGATGATGATGATGATAATGATGATGATCTAAGCAAATTTTCATTGCCATAAATAAATGATATAGTATTGGACGATTGTGCACTTGTATCCGGGTGCTGCTCCTGATGATGATGTTGTTGTTGTTGTTGCTGTTCAGTTAGCAAATCAGTGTCCACCGACGGCGACCTAATTTTGCATTGATTAGCACCCGATTTGTTAACTAAACGGGCAAACAGTACGGCCATTAAACCGCTAATAATATAGACAACTGGCAATAACAATGTCAACCGATATGCAGTCAATACGGTCGATACGATGGCTACGGCGCCGATCATCGAAATTAGTATAGCGTAGCCAAAGATCACATAAAACAGTTCCCAATAGAGTGGTATCAGTGCTGCCAATTGTATGACTATTGCTATTACCGATACACTGATTATCATATATTTAGCTGATTTCTAAAATAAAATATAAAATTTAATAATTAAAAAAATAGAAAATATTTAATTAAATACTCTAGTATATACCTGTAAAAATATATTATCCTGCTCAATCAATTCATCAGGGTCACTGGTGTCACGTGAGTTTACTAATTGCACTGCTAAACACAGTACAGTTATGGTAGATATTATTGACACTACTGTCCATATAATAACTGTCCATTTGATATACTTAAACCAGCGATCCATTTATATTAATCACAATTATATTAAATCACATTTTTTGATAATATATTTATTTAATTATAATAAAGATATATATATATATAACGTTTATTAAACAATATCGGATAAAGTATTTAATAATATTTATTTTTAAAAATATATATATATTTCATTAAATATAACTGATTAACTAATCACATAATGTTATACTTTATGTAGAAAATAATTAAAGATTATTATTATTATTATAATTTATAAGTCATTAAATGAGTTGCACATTAAAAGTATTATTAATATTATATTGTGTTTAAATGAATACTATAATAATAATAATAATAATTTATTACATTAACATATTTTAATGGATGAATTCATTGGAAAGTATTAATTCTGTAAATAATTAATTAATATTACATTTCTCTAAAACATTTACCAATATTTTTATGGTAATAGTAGTCATGTTAGTCATCGATATATTTTTTAAAATAATAATAAACTATTTATTTAAACAAACAGAACAATTAGTTGATAACTATATACAAAAAAAACTACAATAATATCCATATGAATGTAAACATTGTATCCTATTTTATAATAATAAAAAAAATAAAAATAAATATTTTACACAACCATAATAAACTGTTGTTTGTTGCTATAAAAACTATATTTATCAAAAATAAAATATTATAATATGATAATAAAATATGTTTTAGTTTATTTTTATCGGTACCTGCGTGATGTTAATTAATGATAACATATTGCTAAAAAAAATATGACATTATTAATATAACAATACTGACAAACTATTATATTATTTTATAGAGAATATATTTATGTTGTTATTATAACAAATGTATTATACATTAAATGTACACATTTTACACTAATATATATAGTATATAATTTATAATGTTTATGAGATATAATATGATACTAACATTATATGTTGTTATCCTATGGGATTAATTTTATAATACTAATATATATAAATATTTAATTAGTCTGTATACTGTATTTTAGTTATTGAGCTGAATTTTTTAAAAATATATTTCTAATCTACTAAAACTTATCATACTTTATTAGACACTTAATTTACTATTAATACATAAAACAAGTCATACAGTCAAGTAAATAATGAAATAAAGTAATTGCAATAGTTCATGCAATACATTTAATTAAACTTAAATACAATACAATATTAAAGTATTTTACATTGGTTAATTTTTAAAACTAATTAAATTAATGCACAAAAAAAACTTATTGGAAAATTATTTTAAAATAAATGATTTATCTAAATAAATTAAGTTAATCATTCATTATTTAAAAAAAATTAAATTATAATTATATCCATAAAACAATGTTTTTATTTTGCATAATCTATATAATAATAATAATAAAGTTAATATTGCTAAGTAATTAATTACTATTTATTCAATAATTATATAATAAAATAAATCCCCTATTATGACAGGAAATGTGTAAAATAAATATAAGTTACAAAACATTATAGTAAAAAATTAGTTATTAAACATATAAAAATTAGATTAAGATAAGTTAATTATTAATACTTTTATTAAAATAAGTTAATTATTAATACTTTTATTAAAAGTTAAGTCATATAAAAAAGATTACACAAAAAAAATGTTTTTTTTTGCAAACATATAAATAGATTGGTAACAAAAATTAAATTCACAATTCAAGTATTATTTTTTCTTGTTTGGTTTTAATTTTGAATATACAGTTTAATATCATATAAAAATTGCATAAAATAATATAAAATTAATGGCACCGACACTATATTTGATCCAACGTAGTCCGCCCTGTCGTACAGTACAATTGGTGGCCAAACATCTAAATCTGGATCTGATTGAAGTGGTTGTGGATATGCCAAATAAGGAACACCTGAAACCTGAATTCCTAAAGGTTTTACTTATTTTTTTTATTATAGAAAATTATGATAAAAATAATATAATTAACAACAAAAACGATAATATTTTTGTTATTGTTTTTTGTTTTGATATACAAATTACAGCTCAATCCTCGCCATACAATACCAACACTTGTCGACAGTAATGGTGTATCAGTCTGGGAAAGTCGTGCCATAGCTCGGTATTTGTGCAATAAATATGCACCAAATTCATCGCTATATCCCAGCGAACCGGCTAAGAGAGCACTAGTCGATCAGGTACTTGACTTTGAGTTGGGATCATTTGAACCGGCCATCCGAAACACACTGGTATGTGTAATAAATAGATTAACAAATAGTTTATCTAATATTTTTCAAACACACACACACCTACACAGTCGGCCAAAGCTTTTCGTGGAGTTGAACCCAATGAGGAACAGTGGAAACAGTTGACACTAAACATCCAGGTGCTCGACGAACTGATTGCCCGAAACAATGGCCGTTATGTGGCGTCAGCCGATCACTTAACTATTGCCGATTTGTCATTACTGGCCAACACTACTGTTATAGCTTATCTAGACTATGATCTCACCGCTTATCCTAATGTTAAACTGTGGTACACGACTATGGCTGACGAACTGCCCTATTATCGTGACATTCATAACAATACTTTAGAGGCCTTAAGACATAGATATGATAAAAATGATGATTAAATTCAATGAATGTATAATAAAAATTAATTTTTCAAAATAAAACTATTACTAAACATACATAAAATAGTGCGATTGTTATTACCAATGTATAAAATTGAAAATTACAATAAAATTATATGTTAAAACTATTCAATTATTTTTTTACAGTTTTTATAATTTAAAACTAATTATCATTTACTGTAATTAAAAATACAATTAGTATAATAATAGATAATTCTATAATAATTATATCTAATTAAATAATTAATAGAAATACATTTTTTCACATTTTATTAGTTTCAATATACAAGTTACTGTATAATACAGTAATATTATACTGTAATTCAAAAATATAAAACAATAAAAATCAGTGTAAGTATTATTGTTATTGTATTTATACTGTACTAAATTCATAATAATATTATAAACATTTTTAAATGCTTATATAAAATTATAATAAAATTCAAACATTTTGTATAACACCGGGATATAAATAAAATTGAATAGAAGTTCTAATATTAATAATATATTTCAAACTACTATAAAAATACATATTTACAGTAAGTAATTATTTTGTTACTGTTTTTTACTATTGATTTTTGTCTAAATAAAAAATAGTTTTAATAAAACACTTTAAAAGGTAATATTTCTATAGTATATAATTTTAAACAATTTTCACCACATTATTCAGAGTTATAAATTTAATTCAAAATGCACATTTAATTAAATTAATTAAAAAAAATAACTGTATTAAATGTTTTATAATAATTTTAATGGGAAAAATCTTAATAGTTTAAGTACTTATTTTGTTATTGTTGTGTAATTTATGTTTAAGATACTAAAAAAAAATTAACATAAGTATTGCATAAAAGCATAGATTTTATTAAATAAATGAATCATTACATTAATAAATGAATTTTATTTATAATTTTCTTTGACAGATGTCTAGATATATATATACAATTAAATTATATTATATAACTATATACCGGTATTAATATATTTATAGATATTATTTTCAATATAGTAGACTAACACATGATAACTACAGAGATAATTATATACGATATTAAATATAAATGTTATTCAAAACTAAATGATATGACAGTTTTTTTTAATAATACAGTAAATTTTATTTTAGTAATTTAATTATAAATTAAAATAATAGTAATAATGACTCTAACACTGTATCTGAGCAAAACTAGTCCGCCCTGTCGTACAATACTGTTTGTGGCCAAACAGCTAAACCTTGAGATCAACCAAATTATTTTGGACACACAAAACAAGGAACAACTGAAACCTGAGTTTCTAAAGGTTTGATTAAAAAAAATAATCAATTTTTTTTGTTGACAATTATTTTGACATATAATAGTTTTATTGATTTTATAGTATGTATTTAATTATGTTTTTATAGCTTAATCCTCGCCATTCAATACCGACACTTGTAGACCACGACAACAATGGTTTGGCAATTTGGGAAAGTCGTGCCATTGCCCGATATTTGTGCAACAAATATGCTCCGACATCATCGCTATACCCAACCGAGCCTGCTAAGCGTGCAATAGTAGATCAGGTACTGGACTTTGAGCTGGGATTAAGTCAAGTAATCAGGACTACACTGGTATTAATAATTAGTCATAACTTATTACTAGAAAATTTGTAAAATTATCATTTTTTTTATTTAATAGATGGCCAAAGCGTTAACTGGTGTTGAACCCAGTGATGATCGGTCGAAGGCATTGGACTCCAATCTACAGGTGCTCGACAAACTGATATCCCGAAACAATGGGCGCTATGTGGCCTCTGCCGATCATTTGACAATTGCCGATCTGTCACTGTTGGCCAACACAATGATTGTCTCTTATGTTGACTACGATCTCAGCGCTTATCCCAATGTCCAGGAGTGGCACCAGCGGCTGACCGATGAACTGCCCTATTATCGGCACATTAGGGACAATACATTTGAGGCATTAAAACAAAAAATCGCTAATTCAAAGTCACAAAAATAAATTATAATATATTGGAGAATACTGTATATTATGATAGTTTTAAAGTAATACAAAAGTTTGCTATAAATAACTTTTATGTAATTTTTAGTGATATAAAAATAATTATCATATTTTTATATATACAATATATTAATAGATGTATGAACAGAATAACTTTAAAATTTAAAAAACTCATTTATATTATATTAATAATAAAGTTTATTAATATTTTATTTTTGTTGTAAATTATTTATTTATTATTTAAAATAAATAAAACTAAATAAAACCCTTTGAATATAATTTTTAACAAAAAAAATAATATTTTATTAAAAATATTGTACAAGAAGTGTACAAATTATAAATGAATAACTTTGTACTGCAGAATGAGATTATATTAAGGGTTAGATTAGATTAGATGAGTATACTCTAAATAAAGCACAGTCTTATTATAAGGAAAGGCAGATAATTTTATATTTTAATCTTTAATAAATGTTTTTGTTGTCTATTTAGCACATCTATCGATATCTGGATTATCTAAGTAGGCATTGCAAACACGACATTGTTTACGAATGACTGCCAACTCGCCCTCTGCAGCCCCGGGACGACAGTAGTATAAGGTTTCCGGTTTGCATTGTGTGCCTATCATTACCGGTCCATAACTCCAACCCAAGCTAGCAATGTATTTACGATTGGCTCGTTTGCCACATAACTGTCCCTCGTATGGCTGAGTGCATCGGCATCCAGATTTATCTATTTAAAATTAATTGTATTAATTAAATTATAGATTTTATAACATATTAATGTATTTAAAATATAAGGAGTGATATTTAGATATATAGTATACTAAATAAACATTTAAAATAATAGACAAGTTTTTTTCTCTCTAATTATCACATTATGCAAGTGTTTTGTTTAAAATAAACATCCAAAAAAACATTACCCGTTTTAATGTAAGTTCCAGTAGTATTAGTAATATCAGGTTCAATATTTGCCAAAATTTGGTTAAGGTTTATAGCAAATAACAAAAATATAATAAAAATATTTAAAAATTTAATCATCATATTTTATCAAGTTTTGATTTTTTGTGGTGATTATCTCTACAGTATATTGTATATAACTATTGTGTTTCTGTGTATACGTGTCGGTTTTATTGCAAATATTATATTGTATTTTTTTAAACAGATGTCAATAACGTATTATAATAATATAAAGGTATGATTATTATTAATTAATTAATTAATGATAACTAGAAACAAATTAAATAAATAAAAAAATTTATTGGTTAATTTTTAAATTTGATTAATCATTTTTTCAGAAAATAATATTACAATATATAATTTTCTAGCTAATTAGAAATATTATATATATAACTTTTTTTTTATTTTATACAATAAAAAATACAGGTGTACTAAAACTATATACAGTTTTATACTAAAATTAAAATATATGATATTAACATATTGAAAATAATGTATTAAGCATAAAATTTCATTAAAATAATTAAAAATAAATTTAATAAATTTAGTGTCTATTATTCAACACTATCATTAATTTTACAATTATCTTGAACAATTAATTCTAATCATATACTCACAAAATCAAAGTTTACTTAAGTTGAACTAAAGTAACCTAGTTAAAAATACTTGAATCACTAAATTTTAGATAATTGTTTTATAATTTACTATTATTTAATATGATAAATATAATAGTAAACATAATCATCTGTGTCTATTCTCAGACCTATTTTTTTATTTATTTACTTAATTGGATAATATTTAAAAAAATAAAATAAAAAATACTACTGTTATACAGTATTTATTTTGTTTATAAAATATTTCATTATTATATTGAACATCAATAGTTTAAAAACTAATATGCATTAGCTGTTAATTTAATGTAAACTTTAATATTATTTAAAATAATTATTATCATTATTATTTTAAGTTAGAAATTTTTTCAAATCATAATATTATTTTGAATAATAATTATTAGGAGTATAATGACATGAAATTATGATATTAATATTATTAAATTAATTTTATAAAATTTTTTAGTCCAAAATACTATATAAGTTAAATCAATTAACAGATATAAATAGTATTATTAATTATTATATACTTATAATATCTATATATACAGTATATATCGAATTTTAATAATAAAAATTTGATAATTTAAAAAAAATGAAATTATATATATTATTATTGCTAGTATTATCAGTCATACAATGCTATGCAGTGATATGGCATGGCTATGATAATGATCAACAAACCAATTATCAATACTATACCTCTGGTGGGATTAAAACCGGTTTGAATGCCGACAGTCCACAGTTTACACTTAATGGCAAACCTATAACCATATTTAGCGGTTCATTGCATTATTTTCGGTTACCGAAAGCCTATTGGAAAGATCGTCTATTGAAGTACAGGGCGGCCGGACTTAATGCGGTATTTATTTAGTTATTTTTAACATAATTTCATTTATTAAATAAAATCTTTTAACACTTTTGGATACTGATTATTTAAGTTGATATAAAATTATTAATTATTTATTAATTAAAATTAATATTAAAATTAATTAATTTTTTCTTTCATTTAATAACTTCTTTTTTATAAAAAAAAATTTCTTATACTAAGTACTAAAATAAATATTACATTTTTAATTTTTTTTTAACTAACTTTCCGTTTCTCATCCATATCTCTATCTATTTGTTTCCAATTATATTGAAATTAAGGTACAATTTTACAGTCCATGGAATCTACACGAAGAACTGCCCGATAAATGGGACTTCGAGACCGGTTTTCTCGATCTCAAGTCGTTCCTCGAGGCGGCCAAAGAGGCCGACCTGTTTGTCCTGTACCGTATCGGACCGTATATGTGCGGCGAATGGGATTTGGGTGGCTATCCGTCCTGGTTGCTGCGCGATCCTAATATGCGGCTGCGTTCAAATTACGGGCCACATTTGGAGGCAACCCGCAAGTATTATCAAAAAGTATTGTCCATTGTTGGCGAGTTTCAGTTTACCCGAAACGGTGGTCCGATAATAGCCATGCAATTTGAGAACGAATACGGAGGCATTCATAACGATGCCGACAGAGAGTACTTCCAGTTTTTAAGAAAAACCATTGAAGACAACAATTGGCGAGAATTGTTGTTCAATTGCGACCCATTTATGGGTGCGGCAAACGCCGCCAAAACGGTTTTACCCGGTATGGCCTTATTATGCTAAGTATCTATAAATATATAAACTATATTGATATCTACATTATATAATAGATATATGCAGTAATTATTAGAGATAATTTAGAATTTAATTAAATAATTAAATTATAACCCAGGTATATTGGAGGCTGATGATTTCAACTCGGATTCACTAAATTATTTGAATGCATTGCGTAATGCTCAACCTAACCGACCACTGTATGTGTCGGAGTTTTGGCCCGGGTGGTTTGACCAGTGGGGCGATAAACACAATACAATGACTATTCAACATTTTGAGAAAGAGGTTACCGATATTATGTTTGTGGCCAATTCGTCCATCAATTTCTACATGTTTTTCGGCGGCACTAACTTTGGGTTTATGAACGGCGATACTGTAGTAACCAGTTATGACTATAATGCACCGCTTAGTGAAACAGGTTTGACTATCTGTCCTCTATATATATACATCTATATTAGAAAATATTTTAATTATTTTTTAGTTTGTATTAAAAGTTATCTCACTCACTCACTCACTCACTCACTCACTCACTCACTCACTCACTCACTCACTCACTCACTCACGCACGCACGCATACACTCTCTCTCTCTCTCATATTGTTTTATTTGTTTATTAATTTAGTAGATAATTGTAATTAAATTTTATATTATAAAAATGATATTAATATTATTATTTTTTCGAAAAATAATAGGCAATTATACGGACAAATACTGGAAGACCATAGAGTTGATCACAAAGTTTACCAAAGAGCGAGGTCTACCACAACTAATAAAACCGAAACCGCCGACACCGGCACTGACCACTGGTTATGGAAAATTGAAAATCAAAGACTACTTGACTTTGGATCAGGTGTTGGCTAAAGTGAAGTCCGTCATCGTAACCGACCGACCGCAGCACATGGAGATGCTAACTGTTGGCAAAAATTACGGACAAATGTTTGGTTTTATACTCTATAGACTAACAAATTTGAATAAATTTAAACACATAAAACTTACCGGTAATTAATTATTATACTTAAAAAAATGTATTTAATATCAAAATAATTAATTAATTGATTAACAAAATTTTAAATATATTGCGTAATGTCTATCAGGTGGTGCATCAGATCGCGGAGTAATACTTATCGATGGCAAACAAGCGGGTATTGTCGACAATACCAATGACTATAATCAAGATATTGACGACTCATACTTTGTCAAAACTACGGCCGAACACGTATTGGACATTATAGTCGAGAACACCGGTCGGGCAAAGATTGGCGGCGGTATCAATACAGCCCGTAAAGGTCTGAACGGCGATGTCTTGATCGACGGCAAAGTGGCCACCAATTTTCATACATATCCACTGGATTTCAAAGAGCCGTTTGTCAATGAATTGGATCAACTAAAAGGTAGTTCCTATGGTACAGTACAAGACTTGAAGGCACCGGCATATTATCGTACGGAACTTCATATTAATGGTCAACCAAGAGATACGTTTTTGCGTTTGGACGGCTGGACAAAAGGCAACGTATTTGTGAACGGTTTCAACATCGGTCGCTACTATTATGTCGGCCCTCAGAAGACACTGTACATACCGGCACCGTATCTGAAAACTGGTGCCAACCAGATATCTGTGTTTGAATTGCATGTCAGTAGAGATACAGTTGAATTGGTTGATAAACCAGATTTGGGTTAAATAACAATACATGAATCAAAAAAAATAAAAATTGACAATAAATTATAATTTTTAAGATTGATATAAATAATAATACATATTTTAAATTTTATTTTTGCTGTAATTAATTGATAATTAATTTTATCAATAATTATCAATTTTTTTTAAATATTTCGATATATTAAAAAATAATAGTATATAATTGCAATTAAATAATAAATATATAGTATAACAAATCCATTAATAAGTAACTAATAGGTGAGTAAAAAGTTATACTGTATTATTAGAGTTATCAAGGTTATATTATATATATATATATATCAATATTACATAATTTATAGTATATGTTATATTTATACTGTATAAATTTAGTATTAAATAAAAATTAAGTTATATAATAGTCGCAATTGACTTAAAGATATTTTATACAAATAGACAATATAAAAATTATTATTTTTTAATTTAATATGTTAGACAATAATTAAAAACTTTATTTTCTATATAAATTTTCTAATAATATTTAGATAATCCATATAAATTATTTTTTGAAATTATTATGTAATTATTACTTAATTTTATTATTGACTAAATACTTGATAATTTTATTTAACTTATTTAGTACAATATTATTTCAAAAATAAATAAATAAATAACTTTATTTTGCTAATACAGAATTATAAACTATTTTTTGAAAAATTAAAAAAAATTTATAATGAAAAATTCTATTTAATTATTTTAATTATTTATCATTTAGTGTACTTAAAATCAATAGATAAGTAAAACTGAGCTAAAAATCACTAATAGCTAAATACTGTACTTAAGTATTGTTCAAAATTTTGATAATTGTTTTATAATATCTCATTAACATCTGTGTCTATTCTCAAACCTATTTAATAATTTATTTACAAAATCATAGTCTAGATTTTTTTAAATATTAAATTTTATTTAATTTAAAAAATAATTAATTATTATAATAAATAATTTAATTAATATGCATTAGTTGTCTTAGATAATGTAAAATTTAATATATACAATATTAGTTTTATTTAAAATTATTTTTTTCAAATAATATATTAATTGAAAAAACAAGTATTAGATAAATATTTATATAATATTATTATATAATATTATTTGATTAAGATAAAATTAGTGTAGATAAAATTATTAAAAATATTTTTTAAATGTGAAATATAACATAAGTTAAAGTAATTAACGGATATAATAAATAGTATATAATATAAATACTTTAGAAATACTTTTATTAAACTTAGTGTCACTATTATATTAGTGATTACTTTAAATTAAATATATTTTTTATTAAATAGTAGTAATATATGTTTGATGATTTAAAATAAAAAAAATGAAATTATATATTTTATTATCAATAGTATCACTGGCTATACAATGCTATTGTAATGACCAACAAACCAATTATCAATACTATACCTCTGGTGGGATTAAAACCGGTTTGAAGGCCGACAGTCCACAGTTTACACTTAATGGCAAACCTATAACCCTATTCAGTGGTTCATTGCATTATTTTCGGTTACCGAAAGCCTATTGGAAAGATCGTCTATTGAAGTACAGGGCGGCCGGACTTAATGCGGTATTTATTTATATAATATATTTTTATTTTATTTTTAAATATAAATTATGAATTTATCAAATTAACATAACTTTTACTATAAATTGTCTATTATTTAAACATAGATACAATTTTACAGTCCATGGAACCTACACGAGGAATTGCCTGATAAATGGGACTTCGAGACCGGTTTTCTCAATCTCAGGGCGTTCCTCGAGGCGGCCAAAGAGGCCGACTTGTTTGTCATGTACCGTATCGGACCGTATATGTGCGGCGAATGGGATCTGGGCGGCTATCCGTCCTGGTTGCTGCGCGATCCTAATATGCGACTGCGTTCAAACTACGGGCCACATTTGGATGCCACCCGCAAATGGTACCTAAAGGTACTGTCCATTATTGATGAGTTTCAGTTTACCAAAAACGGTGGTCCGATAATAGCCTTGCAATTTGAGAACGAATTCGGTGGCATTCATAACGATGCCGACAGAGAGTACTTCCAGTTTATGAGAAAAACCATTGAAGACAGCAAATGGCGAGAATTGTTGTTCAATTGCGACTCCGGTATGAGTGCGGCAGATGCCATGAAAACGGCTTTACCCGGTATGTCCCCTATGATCTTATGTTGTTTATAAATTTATATCTTTATGTACAGTGACTTACAGAGTCTTAAATAACGGCGCCGACGACGATGCTTTTAATTTCAATTATCTGGCCAACAATACGCTGGATTTAAAAGTGACCAAGAACAATGTTGTAGATAAATTTAAACTGGATAAGATTGTAATTGGTCATTTTTTAATTAATTGTATCATTGGCTATATAATATACAGTCGACTGTTAAAAAATTGTAAAAATGATAGTCAACTGCAATTATATGCCCAATAATATAATTAATTAAAAAATGACCAATTACAATATTATCCAGTTTAAAATTATCTACAACATTGCCCTTGATCACTTTTAAATCCAGCTTATTGTTGGCCAGATAATTGAAATTAAAAGCATCGCTGCTGCATAGTAGCATAGACTATAATACTGTAGATATACTGTACAGTAAATATATATATAATTTATTATTTAATTGAAAAATTTGTCAAAAAAATAAATATCATACAATTACTAATGATTTAATTTGGACCCAGGTATTTTGGAGACCGACAATTTCAACTCGGATTCACTCAAATATTTGGATGCATTGCGTAAGGCCCAACCTAACCGGCCACTGTATGTGTCTGAATTTTGGCCCGGGTGGTTTGACGCTTGGGGTGAAAAACATCATACAATGACTATTCAGCATTTTGAGAAAGAGGTCACCGATATTGTGTTTGTTGCCAATTCGTCCATCAATTTCTATATGTTTTTCGGCGGCACTAACTTCGGCTTTCTCAATGGTGATACCGTAGTAACCAGTTATGACTATAATGCACCGCTTAGTGAAACAGGTTTGACTATCAGTCCTATCTATCTATATATATATCTATTAATCTATAAAAAAATGTTTTTTTTAAATTAAATCAAAAGGCAATTATACGGACAAATACTGGAAAACCAAAGAGTTGATCACAAAGTTTATCAAAGAGCGAGGTTTACCACAACTGAAAACACCACAACCGCCGACACCGGCACTGACCGTTGGTTATGGAAAATTGAAAATCAAAGACCATTTGACTTTGGATCAGGTGTTGGCCAAAGTAAAACCTGTGATTGTAACCGACCGACCGCAGCACATGGAAATGCTAACTGTTGGCAAAAATTACGGACAAATGTTTGGTTTCATAAATTATCGATTAACTAATTTGAAAAAATTTAAACACATAAAACTTACCGGTAATTATTATATTTAAAAAAAAAACTATTTTATTAATATTACAAAATTAATTAATAGACAAAAATTTCAATGTATTGCGTAATGTCTATTAGGTGGTGCATCAGATCGCGGAGTAATACTCATTGATGGCAAACAAGCGGGTATTGTCGACAATACCAAAGACTATAATCAAGATATTGACGACTCATACTTTGTCAACACTACGGCCGAACACGTATTAGACATTATAGTCGAGAACACCGGTCGGGCAAAGATCGGCGGCGGTATCAATACAGCCCGTAAAGGTCTGAACGGCGATGTCCTGATCGACGGCAAAATGGCCACCAATTTTCATACATATCCACTGGAGTTTAAAGAGCCATTTGTCAATGAGTTGGATCAACTAAAAGGTAGTTCCTATGATACAGTACAGGACTTGAAGACAGCACCGGCATATTATCGTACGGAACTTCATATTAATGGTCAACCGAGCGATACGTTTTTGCATTTGGACGGCTGGACAAAAGGCAACGTATTTGTCAACGGTTTCAACATCGGTCGCTACTATTATGTCGGCCCTCAGCAAACACTGTATATACCGGCGCCTTATTTGAAAGCCGGTACTAACCAGATATCGGTGTTTGAATTGCATGCCAGTAGAGATACAGTTGAATTGGTTGATAAACCAGATTTGGGTTAAATAATACTAATAATATTTCAGACAAAAAATATAATTATTGAATAATATTTAATTTAATAATAAATTTTTATTTTGATATAAATAACAAATATTTTTTATTTTAGTGTAATTATTTTAATTGAAGTATTAAAAAACTTATTCAATTTCATCATTATATTATACATTATACAGTATACATATATGTATGTATGTATATATTGAGATTTTAAAAAATAAATTAGATATTATGTTATATTTTATATTCAAGATAATAAAACTAAAAAACTAATAAATAAATAACATTTAGTTTTTATTATTATCGTATCTTTGTTTATATTATTTCTAAAATATTAAAACTAAATATTTTTTATAAACAAAATATTTATTAAAGTAAACTCAATATTATTGAATATACTGTACATTGAAATGTTTATTCATAAGTTATGAATCATAACTATAGAAAAACAAAAATATATTATGAGTTTTATTAAATACATAATTAATTTGATATTTTATGGCAATATATTGATAACAAAATCTGAGTTTATTTACGACAATTTTACCGGTTTAGAGACACCGGTCCGCACCGATATCTACTATGCCATCGAAAATGTCAAAACCGGTCACTATATGATATGGTTTGGCACAAATGAGACGGTAGTTGACCAGTTGGCCGCAAATCAGAGCCGATTTTGGCATCTGTTTCAAGCGCTGGATAACGGCTGGTATAAAATGCGCCACCAGTTTGGCAGTCATATGGTTCAGATTACCCGTACACCGGATAATGTTAATTATCATATTTATGAAAAATCCTGTGGACCAGGTATTATAAGTTATACAAATTAGTTATAATTATAGATACAGTAAACTAAAATTATCAAGCATAACTATCATAATATATTATTATTGATTTATTATTATAATTTTTAAAGTTTTTTACTTAGTTATTAATACTGTTTTTAAAAAATATTTATAAATATATCCCTTTATAAAATTAACTATCCAGATAATGAGGAACTACCAATTGGTGAACTGGTAGGTCAATACAAATTGATATGCCATGTAGTAGACAATAGTGACTATTCTGAGTTTACATGGAAATTTATTGAACGTACAAACCATAGGACAACAATAGTTGACTATATTTTCAATTGTGATCAAAAATATTATCTACTAATTGTCATCGCACTGGTAGTTGTTATCATATTAAATATTTTAGCAGACAAAGAGGTTAATCAAAAATATCCTAGATGAAACAAATAAGGCAACTTAAAATATAAATTGTAATATTAATGTTTTTACTTGTAAATAATGTTTTTTTTTAAAAAAAAATAATAATTATTATTATTTTATAGTATTATTGAATAAACTAAACAGTGTTTATATTAGATTTTATAATTTTAGTTTGTTTTGTTAGTTTAGTTAATTTATAATATAATATTGTTGTTGTTATTAATAATTTTCAAGGATAATCTTAAAATGTTTAATAATAATTATTAAAATATTTGCTTAACGATAGTGTGATTGTATATTATATATACAGTAGTATATTATAACTTTAAATTGAATGATACTATTTATATATCAAAATTAAATGTTTATAAAGTTTATAACAGCAGAAACTTTATTGAGAAATAATCAACAGTTAGACATTGTCAGCAAATTTATTGCTTTCAACTATAATATATGATATAAATTAATTAATTATCAACAAAAAAAACATATACACACTAAGAAAATAAAGTATATTTAATACTGTATATTATTTAACTCATAGTATAAATATAAATTTATATATATATCAAATAAACTATAATAATATCAAATGTGAATATTAGTTGTCCGGATATTATTAAATATTTTTTGTTAGTACACACCATTAGGATAAATGGCATTGGATTACTAAAATATATATATATATATATATATTGTTTTGTTTGTTAATTTAATAATCTATATTTCATATTAATTGTTGATATGCTAGTTGAATATGAATCATAATATTATTATTAAATATCCATATTTAAAAAAAATCAAAAATTGTATATACAGTATATTGATATCACCAAACAAAATATTAATAAATATTTATAATATATTCATTCAGTTGACTAATTAAATATTTACATAATAATACAATAATATTAAATGATGTTTCAAAAAATATTATCAAGCAACTTTTATAGCAAATGTGCACTACAAAAAAAGATAACACATTATAACTGTTAAAACAATATTTGTCAAACTATTAACTACTGTATGTTTAATTTTTTTTTGATAAATAAATTTTTATATAAATTTTTTGTAAATACAATACTATATTTATTGTGTATGTGTTTTTAAGTGTCTCATAATAAAATGTGAAATCATAGTTTCTTATTTGTTTTTTAATTATTAAAAAAGTTAAACTATTTTTATTTTATTTTTTTGAATAAAATATTTACTAAAAAAATGAATACCTATTTAATATTATTTCTGTTTGGACTATCATTCAGCATAAATACCATTATCAGTGTTTCATCGATCAATAATTCAAAATTAGGTTAATTTTTACAACAAAAAAACTAAATAATTAAATTATACAATATTTGATTAACAACTTATTAATAACTAATAACTGCATACATCCTATAATTAATTATAATTTATAATATAACATAATATTTTTTATTTAGGACTAACTGAGCTATTATGCGACATGGATATGGATGATCCGGAAAAATTCATACATAATAGCTCATCATCATCATCGGCAACGGGAACCCAACCGGTACTCAATAGGAAATGTGTTCGCGTGGACAGTACCGACGGTATCGGTACGATAGTGTTTGACCCGAATACTATGCCATTGAAACAATGGTACGAATGGCTGGCACTGGTACCCGAAAACTCTAGTGTACTGTTGACATTGACCAACTTTACTATCGACATAGTGGACATACTATACATACACGACGGCGATTCGGTAGCCAACAAAACATTACTGGTAACAGTTGGCCGTATACTACCCACTACTGTAGTTTCAAGCGGTAATCGACTATTTATTAGATATTGCCCGCAAACGGTTAGATCAAATCCGACTAATATAACATTTATTCCAATTAAACATGGTAAGATTTTATTATTTTTTAGCTACAATAGTATAAAGTTAATTAAATATATCATTTTTAAATACTAATTAACAGGTTGTGGACATACCTATACGGAACCAGAAGGTATAATCTATAGTCCCGGTTATCCTGATGGCTATTACAATGGCATAAACTGCGAGTGGAAGATAACTGTGTCGACATCAAAATATATTGTACTAATGTTTGACGAGTTTCAAACTGAACCCGACAACGATATGTTGCGCATCGGTAGCTACTATAGGACTCTGAGCGGTAATGATAATCCGGGAAACTTTATCTCAAAATACAATTATATGGATCTGATATTTACGACAAATCAGGCAATTACTGGACGAGGATTTAAGATACGTTACACTTCAGTCAATTGGGGTAAGAGATCATCTAAAAAGTTGTTTTTTATATAATATGATTAATTAATTAATAGATAAAAATACAACATATCTTATATCTACCGCCAATGCCTTAATTGAATACCAATCAAACATCAACAAAACAATTGCCATCAATGGTCACAATTGGCTGGAAGTGATTGGTTATGATAAGCGAAAAAATCTTGTTATATGCTATGACAGAGATTTAGATAAATTGCTATTAAAATCAGTGAAAACAAACTTAATCAATAACACTGTTATTAGTGGCAAAACACGAGAGATTAAACTTATGGGACGGCCTACTAGTATCACCTATCACTGGATCTATGATTTGGTCTATTGGATAGACCTGGAGTCCAAACATATTATTGCATTAAACATTACCGACACCGACAACAACAATATCTATACTATCGCTGATCTATCGGACGAAACGCCACGCGATTTGCAGGTAAACATTGTAAAGTCGTCGCTAGTTTGGAGCAATATTGGTGACAACCCGTGTATAATGCACTGTCAATTGGACGGTAATAACCAATCGGTACTCTACCGTAATCAGAGGCAGGCATTTCATTTGACAGTCGACTATCAGACTGAACGATACTATTTTATTGATATTACCGATCATACACTTTATGCCATTAATTTTGATGGAAACCATGAGATTCGTGTTTTAAAGTCTAGCGAATACTTTGACTCAATTCGGTCGATGACTGTCCTCAACAATGACCTGTATTTGTCTACCGATGAAATGATCTATCGTATGCCTCATTTGGATTTGGCCATCAATCGCATCCAAGTACTATACAAAACATACATGTTTTCTATCTATCAGTATAGTATGCAAAAAGCTGTCACAATTGACAGAAAACATATATATGGTTTCAAGATTGTGGATAATATTGATCTCCAACCCCCAGCAAACAATATTTGTTACTTACATAACTGTCCACATATTTGTTTACCAAGTACTGGCCAGTCGTATTCATGTATAGAGCCCGACAGCTATCTCACAAAATTGCCAAAACCTGTTCAAAATTTGACAAAAATTATCAATAATTTTGTCTATAAATATCAATCGGACAAACACTCGTTGATTAACTCGATATTCATATCAGTATTAATTGTGACAAACATTTTGTTTGCGATCATGTTTTACAGGTAAGAGAGAGAGAGAGAGAGAGAGAGAGAGAGAGAGAGAGAGAGAGTAAATCTTATATCAAACTATGATATTATATTAATATTTTTGTCTTTTTTAAAATAGATCTAAAATAACTGGTTTTTATAGTAGGCTAACCAGTACTGGTAGGCTATCATCAGCACAGGTAGATAGACATGTTGATTTTGTTAACAAATTGAGCGATAATAATCTACTACTTAATGAAGATGATAACTCAGATCTATAATATATATATATTATTAATAATATTATTATTATTATTAGTATTTCATTGACGTTGATGTTAGTCATTATAATACTACTCTAATTAACAAAACAGTAAATCAAAATATTTTAATCTTAATTATATATCTCTTATAATTATATTACAAATGTCTATATATATAATATAACTTTATAATATATTTTAATTTTAAATGTAAATTATAAATTGAATATTTTCTTAATATAACTGTTACACTATATATTTCAAATCAATTATACATTAATTAAAAAATTTATTGTAATTTTTTTGTTTGTTAATAAAACTTATTAAATTTTCTAGATGAGTGATTTTTATTACTACTGTCTATCTGTAAACTAACTGTCCACTGTGCTATTATATCAATTATTAGTAAATGTATTAAATAAAGCAATTTTTAAAATTATTGTTAAAACAATATAAATATTAAAAATATTTATTTTTATGTATTTTGTTTGAAAAATTTTTTTATTCAAAAAAAAAGTTTTTAAAAAAAAATTAAAAATATATATTGATTAGAGAAAGAAAGAGAAAGGACAGTCAGCTTTTTATTAGTTAACATACCGACAAAAAATGAGCGGAAATTGGGGAAAAAACTATCAGTGGGAAGAAAGGGATTTGATAACATGGGAAAGGGATATCGACAAAAAAGATGAGAACTACGAGTATGACTACGACGAGCCGATAGTCGATCCAAGATATCGCGAATATCTGAAAGGAAACAGAGATTTGCCGAATAGAACGCTAACCGACCGGTTGAGACACAAAAAACCGACAATTTATGGCCGATCCAGAGAGGGTCGTCGACTGTATGGACCGGCAGATATCACCGATTTGGGAATGCCTACAGACTTTGACTTTCAGCGCGAATGGACAGCAGACAGAAATTTGATTGAACAGACACTGAACATGAATTTTGAACAGATGTTAGGTCAGGGAGGTTTTGGTCAGGTGTGGCGAGTCCGGATGGGTGCCAACAATATGACTTATGCAGCCAAAGTACTGGAGCTTAGGCGATTTGCCAAAAATACCAGTGCAAACGTACGCAAGTCTATGAAAAAGATGCTCGTGGAAGTGGAGGCCGTACGCGGACTACAGCACCCAAACATAACTCGTATTGAGTTTGTATTGCACGTGAGGGACGAGCTCACAGAAATGCGGTCGGCTTTTGTAGTCATATTTATGGAGCTGTGCGAGGGTTCACTCGAAGACGAACTACACTTACGACTGAATCAGCAAATGACTGAACAGGAAGCCCACGTATGGTTTGTCCAGATTATAGCCGGTTTGAAGTATTTGCACGACAATCGTGTGGCCCATATGGACATCAAGCCGGAGAACATACTTGTTAAACGGCACCCGCAAACAGTGTACAAGTTGGGCGACATGGGATTGGAGTTGATCTATCAGCCCGATGAACCAATGGTTACCGACAGAGCGCGCGGAACTCCCGGCTTTCTAGCACCGGAATTGGTAGATCAGGATCAAGGATCCATACGCTCGCTGTTAGGTTTGCCCAATCGACACAAAGCAATCAAATGTGATGTCTATTCTCTAGGCATAACACTGGCCGTGTCGTTGGGCGGCGGCTCCAAACTTGACCTCTATATTCATCGTCCAGACGGTATGATACTGGACCTGAACAGGTATATGAACCACGCACTGCTCAGACCGGGCGGTAGATTCACTGAAAGGGATGACGTTATTAAACTGTTGAAAGGTATGTGTTCAGTGGTTTCCTCAAATAGATTCACCATTGATCAGGTGCTTCAACACAGTTGGACCACTAAAAAGCACTGATATGTGAGAACAACAACCAAAAAGAAATTAAATCAGTATTAGATTAGAAAAATAAATTCAAAACAAAAAACTTTTTCTTTTAGTTTTCCAGAAATAACATTACAATCTAGTTATTGAAAATAATTTTTAAGTGATATTTTTTTGATGATATTGTTTATAACATTGTTTACTCTTAAGACACGATCATCAACTGGCAAACAATCGTTTGATAAACACCACACCTAAACCACTACCGACACTGTAATGACCATACACTGGACAAGCGACCAATAGTGGACATACGAGTTGTTACTTTTGATTAGTAACCAATCGGCATACCTGTCCCGTTGCATACCTACAAAGTGATGTTTCATTTGATTAATTCTGATCTCTACTGTTTCCATAATATCAGACATATTGTACAACTGATCCAACGATTCTCTGATATCCTGACTAACGTTTTCCACCCGAAAGCCTCAGACCGAGACACTGACTAGTTTTGTATTAAACATTTAGTCTGTATTAGTAACACATAAACTATAGATACCTGTGTATATATGTTATGTTTTTTTAATATAACTGTTTATTTCAAATTAATTATACATTTAATTAAAAATTTTACTGTAATGTTTGATTAATAAAACTTATTAAATTATTTAGATTTAAATTATTAGTACTGTCTATCTTTAAACTACTTGTCCACTATGCTATTATAATTTTCAGTAAATGTATTAAACATACCGATTTTTAAAATAATATTACATATATTTTTAATATCTATTTTTATGTATTTTGTTAAAATTTATTTTTTAAATACAAAAATAAAGATTTAAAAAGAAAAATTAAATTTATATCTTGAAAGGACAGTCAGTTTTTTTATTAGTTGACATATCGGCAAAAAATGAGCAAAAACTTTGGATTCAACTATAAGTGGAAAAACAGGGATAGGATAACCTGGGAAACAGATATCGACAAAATAGATGGAAAATACGAGTATGACTACGAAGAGCCGATAGTCGATCCAAGATATTACAGATATCTTAAAGGAAACATCAATTTGCCGAATAGATCGCTTGTCGACCGGTTGAGACACAAAAACCCGACAATTTATGGCCGCTCCAGAGAGGGTCGTCGACTGTATGGACCGGCAAATATTTCAGATTTGGGAATGCCTACAAACTTTAACTTTAAGCGCGAATGGACAGCAGACAAAAAACTAATTGAAAAGACACTGAACCTAAAATTTGAACAGATGTTAGGTGAGGGTGGTTTTGGTCAGGTATGGCGAGTCCGGGCGGTCGCCAACAGAAATATCTATGCGGCTAAAGTACTGGAGCTTAGGCGATTTGCCAAAGATAAAAGTGCAAACGTACGCGAGTCTATGAAACAGATGCTTCTGGAAGTGGACGTCGTACGTGGACTTCAGCACCCAAACCTTACGCGTATTGAACTTGTAGTGCACGTGCGGGACGCGCTCACCAATTTTCCGTCGGCTTTTGTAGTCATTTTTATGGAGCTGTGCGATGGTTCGCTCGAAGACTACCTATACTATCGACAGAATCAGCAAATGACTGAACGGGAAGCCCACGTATGGTTTGTCCAGATTATAGCCGGTTTGAAGTATTTGCACGACAATCGTGTGGCCCATATGGACATCAAGCCGGAGAACATACTTGTTAAACTGGATACGCAAACAGTATACAAGTTGGCCGACATGGGATTGGCGGTAACCTATCAGCCTAATGACCCAATGGTGACCGACATTGCGCGCGGAACTCGCGGCTTTTTTGCACCGGAATTGCTTAATCAGGACGCGTCGTCCATACGCCAGCTGTTAGGTTTGGCCTATCGGTACAGAGCAACCAAATGTGATGTTTATTCTTTAGGCATAACACTGGCCGTGTCATTGGGCGGCGGCTCCAGATTTTACCACTATATGAAGCCTCCAAAAGGAATGATACTGAATCTGAACAGATATATGAAAGACACACTCATCAAACCGGACGGTAGTTTCAGTGAAACGGATAACGTTATTACACTGTTGAAAGGTATGTGTGCAGTGAATCCGGCAAATAGATTCACCATTGATCAGGTATTTGAACACAATTGGATCTCTCAATGGAAATGATATATATATGGGAACAATAACAACATAAAGGCAAATGAAAGGAGTATTAGATTAGAAAAATAAATTTAAAAATAAAAATCTTATTATTTTTTGGTAGTTTCCCGAAGTTACGGTACTATTAGTAATTGATAACAATTTTTTATTGATATTTTATGATGATATTAGTTTTAACTTTTTTTTAATGAAATTTTTTTTTCGTCACTTAGGACAGTCATGTTGAACATCAAAGTGCTGATAACAGTAACAGTCCCGTTGTCTGGGTTTGACTTGTATTTTAAACTCAATGTCTATACAAACCATTGCATTTTGATGGCCAAATTGCCAACAATTTGTTTAACAATAATTGTTGTATACAATTATAATTATTATTAAATGGATTAGCATTTTATATATTGCTTTAGATAATAGATGTAATAAACTAATATTAAAAAATATTAGTAATACTGTTTATTAATAGTGTGTAATATTTATTTTTATGTATTTTTTTTAATTCAAAGTTTTTAAAAAAATTTAAAGTATGTATTGATTAGAAAAAGAAAGAAAGAGAAAGGACTGTCAGCTCTTTATTAGTTACATATCGGCAAAAAAATGAGCAAAAACTGGGGATTAAACTATAAGTGGACAGACAGGGATAGGATAACCTGGGAAACGGATATCGACAAAAAAGATGGGAAATACGAGTATGACTACGAAGAGCCGATAGTCGATCCAAGATATTACAGATATCTTAAAGGAAACATCAATTTGCCGAATAGATCGCTTGTCGATCGGTTGAGACACAAAAAACCGACAATTTATGGCCGATCCAGAGAGGGTCGTCGACTGTATGGACCGGCAAATATTTCAGATTTGGGAATGCCTACAAACTTTAGTAGTAGTAGTAGTAGTAGTAGTAGTAGTAGTAGTAGTAGTAGTAGTAGTAGTAGTAGTAGTAATAGTAGTAATAATAGTAATAGTAGTAGTTTTAAAAAATAATAATAATTCATTATAATTTTATTAATATTATTTTATTTAATTAAAATATTTAATTAATTATCGGCACCATTTTTTTTAACCATTTTGCCAACTTTTTTAATTATTCGTATTATTTGGAGCTTTTAACTATATATAAGAAATTATACATTAATAAAATATTTAAATTAAATTATTTTGATTAGTTTTTAACAAAACTAAAAAACATTTTTAATTTAATTTTTAAAAAAAAATATAATTTTTTGTTACCTTCTTCCTTGAAACTGATTTCTTTCAGCTGCGGGTGGTTTATTGGTTTTACCAAACGTTATATTAGATAATAAAACAATTATTATTATGAATAGTTGTAGTAATAATAAACTTAATTCATAGAATTTTGTCATAATTATTAATTTTTAATTGCTTTTTATTAAAATATTAAAATATATTTTTCATAAGTCAAAAGTATTTTCTAGTAAATGTAGTTTTGCTATAAAAATCAATACTATAAAAAAAAATATTTAATATTTTAATTAACAAAATTAATGTATGACGTATTAGTAGATGTATAACATATACTTATACAGTATAAGTTTTTACAAGTTTACATATTAACTTTTTTTTTAAAAAAAATATACTTATATAGAATAATAAACATCACACAATAATTAATATCACGAATTCCTGAAAGGAGTACATGTCTGAATTCTATATGTCCTTCCGTCTGTCCGCATTTAATTGAATTTTGAAATTTTGACTTCAGATTTAGATTAAGCATCAAAAATAAATTATAGGGGATCAGCATTAAAAATTTGATATCATCATGAACATAGAGAAAATGGCGGTAAAAATATAAAAATTTTAACGTTAAAAATTTTATAGAGCATGAAAAATAAGATATAATAAATCAGCATTATTTGAAAAAAATGAAAGTGGTTAAAGTATAAAAAATTAAATGTATGGTAATGTGATTTTCTAAGTTTTGTATTATTAATATAAAAATAATTCAGCACTTTTTTTATAAATCTGTATTTATAAATTTGAATTATACTGAATCATTTAATACAATTTGGTATCCCACATGACTATAATTAAGTTTATTTTGTCATGCTGAATCATTTGATACACCACATGACTATAATTGAGTTAGTTTGTCATACAGAATGATTTGGTACTATGACTATAGTTGAGTTTATTTGGTCATACAGAATCACTTGATACCCCACATGACTATAATTGAATTTATTTTGTAAAATTCAATAATTTGAGTTTTTAAATTGAAGTTAAATTTAAATGACAAAAGATGAGTTTATTTTATCATTCTTAAGCATGTGATTTTAATATCATTTTTAATTGGGATTAATAGTTCGTATGTAAATGCTTTATGGCATTCTCAACTGGTTTTATATATTATTTTGTAAATACATAAAGTTGGTTACATAAAGTTTAAAATGTCAAAAATAAAAAAATTATTATTATTAGTTGTAGTAAAACACTTTATTCATAGAATTTACTCACTATTATTATTAATAATAAGTTAAACAATTTACTAAATAATATTATTTTAATTAAATCAAATTTATAATAAATTTCTTAAAAAATTGATGTAAAATAATCAAAAACAATATTTTATTAAATCCCATTTAAATACAATTTTATAAAATAAATACCATCTGTAGTTTTCTAATGTTAAATAAAATTTATTAAATATAAAATTTAATGCACTAATAATTACAGAAAACAAATTTAAATATAAATCAAAATTTATATTTAATCATTATTAATTAAAATCAAATATTACATGTTAAAATATTTTTAAAAATGTATATACATTAATTACTACTATATATTAATAAATAATTTTTAAAAAATTAATCTAAATATTAACAATTAAATTATCTTAAATATTTGTCGTAAAAATTTTGGGTACTGGAATTCTTCGTCTATTATTATTATTATTATTTAATCTAATTCTTGAAAATAAATTTGTTTGATTATTATCATTAGGACTTGGATAATGGTGGTGGTGATGATGATGATGATGATGATGATGTATAATACTATTAGTATTATTATTATCATTATTATTTTCAACATTATTTTCGACATTATTCTCCACATTATTGGTATTATGTAAATTTATGTTACGTGTGTGATACTCAATAATTTTGTTATAAATTATTTTAGTTAATTTAGTGATATTTATTAATGAAAATCCAAATAATAAACTAAGTAAACTACCAGATAAAATTATATATTCTAAAAACGAAAATCGATAATAAATTTCATAAACAAATACTGGCTCATTAGGCAAATCAATAAAAATATAATACGAATTGTTTGATTGAATTTTATTGTTTGATTTTAAATTTTTAGTATTAATAAATTGATAATAATATTCGACACAATCATCAACTTTAGCACAATAAACATCATTACAAAATAAAGTTATATCATTGTCTTCATATTCGGCAAACATTGTATTATTAATAATAAATTTATTATTAAAACTATTATTATACATAAAAACAGCCAAATTTGGTGGAAATTTATTATATTTATTAAAATAATTTAATTGCAAACAATTCCAAACACATTTGTTATGTTTCTTTGTTTGAGAATTTTGATTACAATTTTGATTATTAAGTTTATGTAATACTTGTTGTTTTCTATATTTAATAATAGAAGTGTCACCTGAAGTTAAATTAAATTTAATTATATTATTTGATTGAAAAAAATCATATAATAATTCATTTCGTTCATGTAGTCGAACAAAAACAATTTCATTTTTAATATTAGTTTTATTCAAAATATCTATCACTAAAAAATAACTATATTTGCTATTGTATTTAGAATTGTATTTATTATTATTTTCATTAAATAACTGGGAAAATATTGTAATATAAATAAAACGATTATCAAATAATACTCTAAAATCACTTATATTTTCACAGTAATTAAATTCGGTATTATAACTTCTGTAACAATAAAATAATTCATCAATGTCTAAATTAAATAATGAATATTGTTCACTAATTGTTAATGTATTGAATAATGTATAATTGAATTGATTTGAATTACTTAAAGTAAAATTATTGTAGATAGTTTTATTTAATAAATTTGATTTATCCAGGGCAATAGTTATGCCGGGTAACTTATACAGTTTTATTGGTTCAATATTAGTTGATGTGCCAATTTCATAGGAAAAATACAGTTTAGTTGGATCAATTAGATAATAGCAAAATGTACATGCTAATAGAAATATTATAGTATAATTAGTTATCTTAAGATAATTCATAGTTAATTTTTTAAAAATTATTATTTATCATAAAAAAGTTTGTATAATTCACTTATTTAATAAAATAGTATATTTTAAAGCTATAACATATTTTAAGTGCATATTTCAAACTGATATGTAATATTTCATCTCCTTTTATGTAATCCTTAAATAAACTATTATATCTAAAATAATAATAATAATACTTTTATTAAACTATTTAATAATAATATAATAATAATTATGTTTTCTACTGTATTTTGATTTGTCGCTATTATATATTATTTTCATTAAACTATTTTATTATATAAATATATTATTTTAAATACAGTACTAGTATATTAAATGATTAAATAAGTCATCATTTTTTTAATAAATACTAAAATTATTTCATACAAATTAGAATACACTTGAAATAGTTTTTTAATCGTTTAAATAATGTATACCGTATTATACAATAATATTTATAATTATAATAGATTTAATAGATAATAATATAATAATTAACATTGAATTCTATAAGTCATATTATAAATCAATAATTAAATCATATTAATAATTATAATAATATCAACGACTTTATGGTACGGCTGTCTGTATGTGTTGGAGTTATTGATGTATTTTTTTAAATTAAATACATGTGTAGCGTTTGAGTGATAAATATTTGGATTCAGTTCGGTATTAATTAAGAAAATTAATGTTTATTTAGTGATAATCAAGTGTACAGAAAATGGTATACAATGTGTATTCTAATGGACTACTAGTGGGCGGAAAGGGATATCAGTTTGTGTTAATGTCGGTGCTGTATGTCATGTGACAACAGGTATATGTGTGTGTGTATGTGATATAACAGATGAGATAATAATAGGTAAACCCCATAGTACTCCCTCCCGAGTGCTTAACGATATATAAATATATACAATAAAAAGTTAATTAAAAATATCGGTAATCTGGACGTGAATTGATTCGAACGCGACGTCCAGAACGCGTAGTAGTTTCAGCCGGTGTCTGATATGATTGACTAGTGGTGTCCTGTTGTTGACTTGTGTCCGGTGTCTCGAGATATGCAGGTTTTAATCGATCAATAGTTACAGTTGACTGTCGGCCTCTGATCTCTATAGTGAATGTCTTGTCTGTTCTAGAGATGACACGATAGGGTCCGTCATATGGCGACTGCAGTGGTCGACGTACTGTATCATTACGTAGAAAAACATGAGAACAGTTTTTGAGATCATTGAAAACAAAAGGAGTATTGTTTCCTTGTCGCAGAACAGGTGTAGGTCTGAGATCACGCATTTGTTGTCTGAATCGTGAGACGAAATCCGATGTGTCTACTGTGTTGTCATCAGTGTTGATGAAGAATTCGCCGGGTAGTCGGAGGTGTTGTCCGTATACCAGTTCGGCTGCAGTAGCATTAATGTCTTCTTTGTATGCATTTCTGATACCGAGTAATACAATGGGTAACTCTTCGGTCCAGTTTTCATTTTGTCGACACTTGAGTGATGCCTTGAGTTGTCGGTGAAATCGCTCAACTAAACCATTGGCGGACGGATGAAAAGCAGTTGTCCTGATTCGAGTGGTACCGAGCATTGAACTCAGCGCTTTGAATAGATGTGACTCGAATTGGCGTCCTTGATCTGTAGTAATACGTAGTGGTACACCAAATCGTGAGATCCAACCACATAACAATGTTTTAGTGACTGTTTCTGCCGTTATGTCTGGCATTGGGATAGCTTCTGGCCAACGAGTGAATCGGTCAATAATTGTCAAAATGTATGTCTGGCCGTTAGATGTTGGTAGAGGTCCGACAATATCGATGTGTATGTGTTCAAATCGTGTGGTCGGCTGAGTGAACGTACCCAATGGTGATGACACATGTCTTGTAATTTTGTTTCGCTGACATTGCAAACAATTTCTAACAAATGATTTGCAGTCAGTGTCGATGTTTGGCCACACAAAAGATTTCTTAACCAAACGTGTTGTCGACTTAATGCTTGGATGTGACAAACTATGTTGAGAACTGATGGCAATTGTGCGGAAAGATTTTGTAACAAATGGTCTGACATTATCTGTTGAGACATCACACCAGAGTTTGGTATGAGTGTAGGGAACCGTCAGCTTCTTGAGTGTCAACGTTGTCGGAGACTGCAGATATGTCTTGAGTTCGGCATCAGTTTCTTGCTCTGCGGCGAGAGCCTTAAAATCGATACTAGCTTCCAGTGGTTCAATACGGGAAAGTGTGTCAGCAGGTATGTTGTCACGACCGGAGATGTGTTGTATATCTGTTGTAAATTGAGAAATATAATCTAAATGTCTTAGTTGTCTAGGCGATGCTTTCTCTGGGTTTTGTTTTAAGGCAAAAGTCAGTGGCTTGTGATCTGTAAATAGTGTGAATTGGCGGCCTTCCAGAAGATATTTGAATTTCTTCACTGAAGAGTACGCGGCCAGTAGTTCGCGATCATATGCTGACCACTTGAGTTGACTGTCCGACAATTTACGAGAAAAGAAAGCCAGTGGTTGCCAATTGTTGTCAACCAATTGTTGAACAGATGCACCAATTGCTGTGTTTGAGGCGTCCACCATAAGTGATAGTTTTGCATCAGATACTGGATGTGCTAACAGTGTTGCGTCAGCGACTGCCTGTTTCAATGTATTAAAAGCATCGGTAGCTTCTGGTGTCCACTGAATGGCTTCTGTTTTGTTTGCCGAAAGATATGAGTTGAGAGGTGCTTGAACTGCTGCTGCACACGGTATGAAACGTCGGTAAAAGTTGACGAGTCCAAGAAATCTGCGTAACTCTTGAGTGTTAGTCGGCTGTGGAAACGATTGAATTGCAACGACTTTCTCTTCTTGAGGTCGGGTACCTTTTGCGTCGACAATATATCCGAGAAATGGGACTTCAGAGGCACCGAATACACACTTAGCGGCGTTGATCACCACTCCATAGTCTTGGAGTCGAGTGAACAATAGCTTTAAATGTTGTTGATGTTCGGCTTCAGAGTGAGAGGCGATGAGTATGTCATCAATATATGCGTAACAGAAGTCTAGTCCACGGATTACTTCGTCTATAAATCGTTGAAATGTTTGGGCGGCGTTGCACAGACCAAATGACATGAATTTAAATTCAAAGAGTCCAAAAGGTGTTGTAACTGCAGTCTTACAGATATCTTCAGTATCAATCGGTATGTGATGGTATGCTTTGACTAAATCTATTGTTGAAAATACTGTACGACCTGCTAAATTGTGTGCAAAATCTTCGATATGTGGTACAGGATAGCGATCTGGTACTGTACGTGCATTGAGTTGTCTATAGTCACCGCACGGTCTCCATTCATTGTTTTTCTTGGGCACCATATGTAACGGTGACGACCAGTTACTGGAAGACGACTGTATAATATCTTGAGATAACATATGCTCGAACTCTTGTCGTGCAATACGTAATTTGTCTGGTGTTAGTCGTCGAGGTTTTGAATAAATAGGAGGTCCATCGGTGGTAAGGATATGATGAACAGTTGAGTGTTTGATTGGCCGGAGAGTAGGAGATGGTCGTGTGATGTCTGAAAATTCATTTAATAATTGGTGGTACAGTGTGTTGCCATAAATAGTTTTGATGGCCGGAATGTCGACAACTTTGATGTGTCCAACACTTGAGAGACCAGTTGTACTATCGATGAGACGCTTGTTGCGAAGGTCTGGCAGAACACCAAAATAAGCAATAAAATCGGCACCAATTATGGGATGAGAGACATCGGCGACAATGAAACGCCAATTGAATACACGGCGGAGATTCAAGTCAAGTGACAGAGTGTATGAGCCGTACGTCTTGATTGCTGTGCCGTTTGCAGCGTAGAGTTGATAGTCTTCGACTGTTCGGCGTTTAAGCAATTTGGCCGGAAAGACACAAATGTCTGCACCGGTGTCGACAAGAAATGAAACTTTAGATGACTTGTCGGTAACAAATAGACGACGACTTGTTGTATGGGAATCAGTTGTCGTCATTATTGACTCCCCGACTCGTTTCCCTGTTGATGATTACACGGTTGATTACATTTGCGGGCCTTATCACCGAACTTGAAGTGATACCAACACTTGCCGTCACGTTGTCGTGAATTTGATCGATCACGGGATCTGTTACGAGATTTTGAACGTCCGCGATCTCTGGCCACTAATTGCTTGACTTGTTTAGTCAACTCTTCAATTTGTTTGTCTTTTGTAGACACAGAGTTGACGGCCGACGGATACTGCTCGTTGAGTTGGTCGGCAATGCGTGCCAGTGAGTCCAAGTCGACAGTTGTAACTGTTAGTATCTTCTGTGCATCGGTTGGCAATCGAGACATCCATATGTTTTTCAGTACATCGTCTGTGATTGAAGTGCCGGCCAGTGAACGGAGTTTACGCAACAGCTGTGATGGCGTTCGGTCTCCGAGTTCTTCGCTGTGCAGTAGTTGTTGTAATCGTTTGTTGTTAGACACCGATAGTCTGTCGATGAGTGCCTTTTTGATGGCCTCATACTTGTTGGCCGTTGGTGGAGACGATACGATATCCTGGACTTCGTTGAACACTGTTTCGGTAAGTGAGGTCACGACATGACTGTATTTAGTGTCATCATTGGTCACACGAGCGATCGCAAACTGAGCTTCGAGTTGTATGAACCAAAACGTCGGGTTGTTTGTCCAGAAAGGCGGCGGTTTAACAGATATGTGGTGTACATCGGCTGTTGTCGCACTTGTGTTGACTGTATCGTCGGGCATTTTGATGGACAGACGGCACTTGTGGTCACTAAATAATTATCACGTCCGGGTCACCAATTTGTAGCGTTTGAGTGATAAATATTTGGATTCAGTTCGGTATTAATTAAGAAAATTAATGTTTATTTAGTGATAATCAAGTGTACAGAAAATGGTATACAATGTGTATTCTAATGGACTACTAGTGGGCGGAAAGGGATATCAGTTTGTGTTAATGTCGGTGCTGTATGTCATGTGACAACAGGTATATGTGTGTGTGTATGTGATATAACAGATGAGATAATAATAGGTAAACCCCATACATGTTTACGGATTAAACTCATTGTCGGATAAGTAATGTCATCACTAACTGCTGTAAACATATCTAATTTTTTATAAATTAACATTTAAACTAAATGTTTATTTGTTTGCTTAGGCGGCGAGTTTGCCGTCGGGAATACAACTGTCCGCGTGAATCGGATGCCGGTTCTGCATCCGCCACAGTCTGATGATTGGTTGACTAAGTATTGATTAATTGATTGACCTACCGATTCATTGCTATACTGTCTATGCATATGTCTATGTGGACAATAGGACCGGTATTTATATATATATATACTGTATATATCTATTCAAAATGGTATTAACAACTCGGAATGACTGACCTATCTATCGGAAACGGATCCGATGTTTGTCTGTTTTTAATAGAACTAACTGTTTGATTGTTTGCTTAGGCGGCGAGTTTGCCACTGAATACAACGGTCCGCGTGAATCGGACGGCATTGTCAAATATATGCGATCTCTCTCTCTCTCTCTCTCTCTCTATCTATCTATCTATCTATCTATCTATCTATCTATCTATCTATCTATCTATACAAAAATAAAAATGAAATCAGTATTAGATTAGAAAAATAAATTTAAAACAAATAATTTTATTATTTTTTGGGCAACGCTTACCTTAGAGAGGGCTTCGTTTTTTATATTGTTTGCGCGTGCATTACAACACTGTATTAAATGTATTAATAATACTATTTGCACCTAAAATCACTTAATTGTATTCACATTAGAAATAGAAATATATAAATCATAATATGACTCGACACCACCCATACTTAACAAACTACTATCTAACCCCACCCACCCGACCACCACTTCCTAACCTCTCACACCCTACCCCACTCACCCCCACAAACTAACCCAAATGTAAAGATAAGTTTAATGCTTTTATATTATACTTTAAAAACAATATAAAAAACGAAGCCCTCTATGGTAAGTAATGGCGAGATTTGCCAAAAATAAAAGAGCAAATGTACGCAAATCTATGCAAGAGATGCTTCTGGAAGTGGAGGCCGTACGTGGACTACAGCACCCAAACATAACGCGTATCGAAAAAGTGCTTCACGTGAGAGACCCTCTAAGGTAAGTAATACCATTTTTTGGTAGTTTCCCTAAATTACACTATAGTATAGTAGTTGAAAACAATTTTTTATTGATTATAGACAGCCAGTAGAAAATTAATTGCCCCAAACCCACCCCCACCCACTTCCTAACCTCACACCAATCCCATTTTAATCGATATAATTAACTAATATTAAAACTATTAGAAATCCTCTGTAATATATATTTTTATGTTTTTTTAAAAAAAAAATAATAATATTTATTTAATTCAAAAAATAAAGTTTTTAAAAAAATTGAAAGTATATATTGATTAGAAAAAAAAGAAGAAAGAGAAAGGACTGTTAGTTTTTTTATTAGTTGACATATCGGCAAAAAAAATGAGCACAAACTTTGGCAAAAACTATAAGTGGACGGAAAGGGATAGGATTACGTGGGAAACAGATATCGACAAAAAAGATAACTACGAGTATGACTACGAAGAGCCGATAGTCGATCCAAGATATTACGACTATCTTAAAGGATACAGCGATTTGCCGCACAGATCACTGGCCGATCGGTTAAGACACAAAAAACCGACAATTTATGGCCGATCCAGAGAGGGTCGTCGATTGTATGGACCGGCAAATATTTCCGATTTAGGAATGCCTACAAACTTTAACTTTAAGCGCGAATGGATAGCAGACAAACTACTCATTGAAGAGGCATTGAACGTAGAATTTAAACAGCTGTTGGGTGAGGGAGCTTTTGGTCAGGTTTGGCGAGTCCGGGTGGTCGCCAATAGAACTCATTATGCGGCTAAAGTACTGGAGCTTAGGCGATTTGCCACAGATAAAAATGCAAACGTACGCGAATCTATGAAACAGATGCTTCTGGAAGTGGATGCCGTACGTGGTCTACAGCACCCAAACCTAACGCGTATCGAAATTGTACTGCACGTGAGGGACGCGGTCACCGATTTTCCGTCGGCTTTTGTAGTCATATTTATGGAGCTGTGCGATGGTTCACTCGAAGACGAGATATACTATCGACCGAATCATCAAATGACTGAACGGGAAGCCCGCGATTGGTTTTTTCAGATTATTGGCGCTTTGAAGTATTTGCACGAAAATCGTGTGGCCCATATGGACATCAAGCCGGAGAACATACTTGTTCAAAAGCAGCCGCAAGCAGTGTACAAGTTGGCCGACTTGGGATTGGCGCTGACCTTTCAGCCTAACGAACCAATGCTAACCAATGACAGACTGCTCGGAACTCCCGGTTTTCTGGCCCCGGAATTGGTATATCAGGACGCGTTGTCCATACGCAAGCTGTTGGGTATGTCTAATCGGCACAAAGCAACCGTATGTGATGTCTATTCTCTAGGCATAACACTGGCCGTTTCATTAGGCGGCGCCTCCCGATTTTCCCACTATTTGAATCCTCAACACGGGATGACACTGAATCTGAACGCATATATGAGAGACACACTCCTCAGACCGGACGGTAGATTCAGTGAAACGGATGACGTTATTACACTGTTGAAAGGTATGTGTGCAGTGAATCCGGCAAATAGATTCACCATTGATCAGGTATTTCAACACAATTGGATCTCTCAATGGTATTGATATATATGGGGAACAACAACAAAACAAAAAGGAAATAAAATCAGTATTAGATTAGAAAAATAAATTCAAAACAAAACAAAAACATATTATTTATTTATTTTTTAGTTTTCCAGAAATTACATTACAGTTTAGTAATTAAAAACAATTTTTTCTATTGATATTTTTTGATGATATTAGTTTTAACATTGTTTACTCATCGACTGGCAAACAATCGTTTGACAAACACCACCTGAACCACTGCCGACACTGTAATGACCAAACACTGGACAAGCGACCAATAGTGGACATACGAGTTGTTACTTTTGATTAGTAACCAATCGGCATACCTGTCCCGTTGCATACGTTCAACGTGATGTTTCATTTGATTGATTCTGGTCTCTACCGTTTCCATAATATCCGACATATTGTACAACTTATCCAATGGTTCACTGATAGCCTGAACAAACTTTTCCCAAGTGGCCGCCCTAAAGCCCCACACCGACACACTTACCATTTTAGTATCAAACATATAGTCTGTGTTAGTAACACAAAAACTATAGATACCTGAGTATATATTTATATATGTAATTTTTATAGGTTTACCTATTAATTTACTATTAATTTATAGAGCATATATGGATACAGACCGGGATCCGTTATGTCATGTTTGGAAAAGTCGATACGAGTGCTACCGTTTTCACTGATTAATAGTTGCTGATCATCGGGTGGACCATTGATTGTATAACTGATGGTTAGTTCATCGCCACTCAGGGCAATCATCGATACGTGAACATCAAAATCAACGTCAAAGTGCTGATAGTAACAGTCCCGTTGTCCTGGTTTGACCTGTACTTTGAACTCGGTGTCAATACCAACCATTGCATTTTGATGGCTAAATTGCCAACAATTTGTTTGACAATAATTTTTAGACACAATTATGATTATTATTAAATTGAATATCAGTTTATACATTGTATTTTTTTAATAGATATAATAAACTATTATTAAAACTATTAGTAATACTTAACAATAATATTGATTGATATTGTAATTATTAATTAAATAATATTGTATTTTATAATATATATTGATAAATACTGTACTGTAAAATAATACTTTAATTTTTTTATAAGTTAAATATAAAGTTTCATTTAAGAGTTTTGAATATCAAATTAAATAATTTTATTTCAAAATAATATCAACTATTTTGATAAATTATTATATTATATTTGTCTATATAAATTTTTTAGTAATAACTTGATTAAATAATTAATAATTAATAATTAAAATCATTATTATACAGAATAGTTAATTAATTAATAATATTGAAAACACAATTCACACGTGATATTTGAAATTTTTTAATTTTTTAAAATTAATGTTTTTTGTTAATTTTATTATCTAATAGGGAGATAAATAGTTTAACTGACAAACAAATATAAGATCACATTTTTGTTGTAGAATTTATCTAAAAACTTATTGTATTAGTTTATATATTGAATATCCCATATCTATGAGCGAAATAGTGGGTGTCTTTCTGGCTCTGGTAGCACTGGTAGTCGGTATTCCCATTGGAGTATGGATTGAGTTGAACAGCAAAGTTAGCGATCATCACTATTGGCAAGTCTTTTCGGATCAGATGCACGACATGTTTGTGGCCATTGGCCATCTGTTTGAGGCTATGGAAGCCAATGCCAAAAATGCTTGATTACGATATGTCGTCCACCCTCACCCTCCCTCCCTCCCCCAATAGCACAGATGCTAAATGATTGAGAAAAAAGTTATTATTAGTTTCATAAAAAAAATATTTAGTTTGTGAATATCAACTATATTTAGTACTTCTATTTTTAAAAAACTAATAATAAAACAAAAATTTGTGAATTATTTTATTGTAAAAAACAATTTGATTAATACATTAAATAAAGTGTTTTAATTCATCCAAAAATAATCCTATATTTGTATTAGTATAATAATTTTTTTTTGACAATAAGTAGTGAATGAAATAATTAATTTTAGTTTATACATATAGTTTTTTGTATTTCTAATAGTAATATATGATAAGTTAACAAACGAAAAAACAAAATTAATAAAATAAATGGTTTTCAATAAATAAATCATAAAAATAATATGATTTAATATTAAAGTTGAAATCTAGATAATAATAATTAATTGTAATATTAGCTAATTAATCAATTTTATAATTATTAATAAATAAAATTATAATACTTTAGATTTCATAAGTATAATAGTGTGTTAGCTAATACTGTAAATTAAACGATGATTAGGCAACAAAAATATTATCAATAGGTCTCATGTGTTTTTCCCATATTATTCATAAGTACCTATTATTATTATTATTAAGCAATTTGAAAGCAATAACTAATTGAAAATTATCTAATTTTTTGTTTTTGTTTTTATTATTTTGATAAACTATTACCTAAAAAATAAGAAACAGATTTAATGTATAATAAAAAAAAATCATATAAATATAGAGAGATTTGAATTAAAAAATTATACTTCAAATAATTATTACTTTTTTGTTATTAAAAAAAGTTTATTAAGTTTATTAGGTAAGTTTTATAAAAATAATAATAATTAGTATATATGCTTAATATATGCTTATTATTAATTATATTTATTAATAATAAGTTTAACAAATATATTTAATTATTAATTATATTTTTAAATTTTAGATTATTCAACAACAAAAACAATGAATGGTTTACTAGTTTGCAGTTTATTACTATCGATGATAGTTATGATCAAAATAGACCTCACAAACGGTGAGTGCTGTTATGTGGCTTTGAAATGCAAAGAGGATTCAAAATCAGTGGAAAGGTGTTGGGACTGTACAGAAGCCAGTTATTATTGCGGTGTCGGTAAATGTAATGTTGTTGGCTGCAATTGCGATGGTGGGTGCCGTAAAGGCGACTCAACTATGTGGTGCTGGAATGTGGTGTCGGGATGTACGAAAAAACATCTCTACCAACAACTACTGATATCATCGGCTCCCGGAAGCAACCGACAATTAGATGCCCAGTATGTGTTCAATAGTATCGACACCGATGGTAACGGTAAAGTGACTGTAGATGAGCTCAATGCCTATGTGGCCGTTAAACAGACAGCCGATGGTCGCAACGTTGCCGAAGAGTTCAACCGAATGGATAAAAATATGGACGGATTTCTAACTGTCGATGAAATTGATGGTTAAACTAATGTTATAATTTATGTCTATATATATGTAATATTTTATTAATTATTTTTTAAATATTTATTTAATTGTATTACCGTAATAGTATTTATTATTAATAATAAAAAATTTGCAAACATAATTAAAATAATTGTGTATTTTTTTAATAATTATTTTATATAATAAAACTATTTTAAATTAACTTTTCAATTAGTTTGATTAAAATCTATTCATTTAGTACTTATATTTAAAAAAATTACATATGATTGTGTAATTATCAACAATTTTTTTTAAATATATAATTCAATAGTATTTTTTATCACCTGTTTATTGTATTACTGTATACTTAATATCTGTTTACAAATATCTTATTTAATACTTCAAAGTTTTTTAATAAATCAATAATGATTACACACTACTAACCTTTGTACTAAAATTAAAGACTATTTTATTGATATATATTTTATATACATGTATACTAAAAAAATCAGTATCATATACTTTAAAACAAATGTATATACTGTGAATATTAAAATTATAAAAAATTATTCATTATACTCTCTATAAGTTATAAGTATTCATTAAATATAGCAATAGTTTTATAAAAAAATAAAAATAAAACACTACTTTAAAACAAATTTTTAGTTAAAAAACAAATTGCAATATTAATATTTACAACAAAAAAAAAGTGTAGCTATAATTTATATATAAAATACAATAATAATTAATGAATAAAAATACATTTCAAACAACAAAAAGTTTGGCAAATAAAAATTAGTGCAAAAATAAAAGACATTTTTAAATAATAAACAGCATTTTGAGAGAAAAATAATATCAATACAATTGATAACTAAAGATAATAATAATATTAATAAGACAAACAACTAAAGAAAAAATAAAATTAATCTAAATTTTAGACAACAGTGGTATCATTATCATCAATTTTGCTAACAATAAACCAATCGGTCGGTACTATCAGGTCCTGGCCTACGGTCACCGATATAGACATTTGTTGTTCGAGTGCCCGATACAGGTCATCCATGGATTGTACCCGAAATCGGTTGACATGAGTTATAATGTTGTACTTTGCAAGGTTTCGTCTATCATAAAATATATATATATATATAAAATAAAACATTAACAATGTGATTGAAAATCGGGTGACAAAAAAAAATCATATATTACACAGAGGGATCTCGTTGGCCAAAAACTTCGGCCACCAAAATGCCGCAATAGTCGGGCAATAGTTCGGGCGGTACGCCGTTTTGTTCGAAAAACTGCCGGTTCTGCGGATCGTACCAATAGACCAGTAGTCCAAAGTTCAGTGCTCGTTGCGTCAAATAATAGTTAATATATACTTTTTTTTGGGGGGGGGGAAGGGGAGGGAGAGTGGACATAATTATTATTAATACAATTATCTTTCTTTCAACACAAACAATAATCAATAAATCATACATACTTTCAATTGATTCTATATTAAGACAGACATTTACCGTCGGCTGAAATTGGACAATATTAACGCCAATGACCCGGCCATCCATGTCCACAACACTGGTTCCGCCGTCGCCCGCTCGAACACTTGCCGTATGCTGTATAAGAGTGTGAAGTTGATCGTCAATAGCATTGGGACAGTTGGGTATCTCCCATTTGTCACGTTTCGGATTATTGATAATGCCTTCGGAGACATAGTTATAGACACCGGCAATAATGTTGCCGACAGTCATCACCGGTTCGCCTACACGTAACTCTGTGTCTACAATATTACGTTTGTATATCACTGGCCAGTCATCTCTAGTTTCGCTAAGCTGTATGACAGCCAAATTGAATTCAGGTGTACGCATAGTTACTCGTCCTCTGTGCTCCTGTCCATCGGATGTACGCACCGATACATCGGTTAGGTTTTCCACTGTATTGCATGTGGTTATTACAATACCAGACGACCGCATTATACAACCCGATCCCCAAATATAGGGCGGACCGTCATAGTTTTCGGTAAACAGCGAATGATCGGTGTTGGTTACGTAGGCCCTGATCGACACAAACGGTTTGAACCAGTCGATGCTGAACGGCTCTACCGGTTGGCCATTCGATAGGAAAGCGTATCTCATGAATAGGGCTGACAGTGATGATAGTGGTCTCCATTGAGATTGACTATTATTTATAGACACTGGTGTTGATCGTTGTTGTTGTTGTCGCTGCTGCTGTCGTCTACTTGTTGTCCATTGTTGTTCACATAGATGTCTGGTAGCAATCAATGATACCAGTGCTGCTGTACAGCTGTTTAATTTTTTTTTATTAAAATCAATTAGTATTTTTCATGATTAATATTAATACAGTATTAATATACCAAATTTTAAAATACAGTACCTGTTATTAAATGACAGTCTAAACATAACAGTGTGTTTTAACAGTTTACAATCAATCAATCAATGCAAATGATATAAAATAAAACTATTTGATGAAATTAATTGACTAGTAATCAGTAAAAAACGGGATTATAAACGGTTGTGTTTTTAACTGTTGTTTAAAAAAAATAAATGACAGTTAAAATTGGTTTTATGAAAAAAAACCAAACATTAAATGTTTGACTAATTATTACATTATTACAACACACGTGCATTGAATTTAATTTTATTATTTATTTTGTATATACTGTATATATAATTAACTTTATAAAATATACACTAATTTAGTTATATTTACTAAATTAGTTGTTGTCTCGCTATACTTATATACACATTTCTATTGTATATAAATTTAGGTTATTTTTAAATTATATAATAGTATAACAATATAGACTGATTTAATATATCTTTCTATAATATAACTTTAAAACAAAATCAATCAATAATTTTTTTGAATAATATTATTTGATTTGATTTATTATTTACAGTAATAAAAAACAGTTGTATTGAGTTTTTCATCATTGAATTATTATTAGTTTGAATTTTTTTTGGGTCACAATTTTTTTTGGTCATCGATTATCTCATTTGATGTATTATTGTTGTTGTGGTTTATTAACTGACAATTTGTTGTCGTATTTGATGATAATCGCTGTCCGACTAATGATCATCGACTTGTCTTACGGTGATATCTGCGACGACGGTATCATCGACTCGATTACCCAAATGAAAAACGGGTCGATTGCCATATTTCGTGACCAACTGGTCTGGTTGTTGGACATCAATAGCGGCAATAAACAACAACTGTTCGGTCCGTTTTATGAATCGCTGATATTTGGCGACGAGTTTACTGGTCGTATTGAATCGGCTGTAACCATACAACAACACGCGTCGATTCCCGATTTTGTCGGCACCGGTGTCTACTTGAATGAAACACATTTTATGACATACAGAAACTTTTTTCGCTATACTATAGAATGGGGTGGACTAACATATATGCCGCACAAAGGTCTCAGATCGTCAATGGGTGCCGAAAACCAAACCATTTCCGAATGGATGGCCAGCAAATCGCTGGCCGCTTATTTCGATCCCGTCGATCGGCGGACAAAGTTTGTACTACAATCGCGTCAAGTAATTGGTTTTCACTTTGAGTTGGGCGTCGAGTTTGAACGCCCATCGGTGTCCACACTCGAAGACGAGTTGGCTAAGTTTGGTGTCGTCAACGATAGTATTGAATTTGTGGCCGCGTTTACCACACAGACTACCGACAAAAACAGCAGCGGTAGCGGCGGTGGTGGTAGTGGTGTTGGCAAAGGACACGAGTTGTTGATCTTCAATGGCAACAAATACTGTCGGATAAAGATTAGTCCGAGTGGTCAGAAACCAGTTATAGGCCAGTCGTGTAAAAAACAATGGCTATCGACCAAAAAGTTTTTGAAATGTGATAGCTATGTAAAAAAGTCACTAATCCCTAACAGATCGGCCGATGCTCAGGACAACAATACCATAACTATTAACGTCAGTCCAACAACAAGTAATAATAATACTGAAAACAACAACAATAAACCAAATAGTGGTCAACCATTGGGCGGACAGACTATGGCAATGATGACGACGACAACTATTTCATTATTGTTGTTGACATTCATTATAACATATATTTCTCATTGATTTTTCTCAATTATTTAGTATACAATTAGTTAATTTTTAATTTTTTTTATTAATATTTTAATCTAAATTTTGATAAATTGTCTATCAATTGTTATAATATCAATATTTGCTAATATTAATAAAATATTACTATCTGTTTAACAATAAAAACTTTTTATAATTTCTAATATTCATATACAGTATTATAAAAATTAAAATTATTTTATATTACTGTAATATTTTTAAAGCATTATTAATTAACAATATATAATAGAAGATTTTTAGAAAATTATTGTAAATAACATAATTAATTACTTGTTATAACAGTAGCCTAGATAGTAATAAAAAATAGAAAATTATATATAATATTTTTTACATAAATTTATTTTTTTTAAAAAAATAATACCCCGAATGCACATAATGGATGTGGCAATGGTGTTGTATAATACCATTGATTAGATTTATAATCATATATTTCAACCGTATCCAATCTCGTTTCTTTAAACAAAACAAAATATTAAATATATTATTAACAATAATTTAATTAATAAAAATATATAAATCTATATATTATATGATATATATACATTACCATTATAGCCACCAATAGCATATAGATTGTCATAGAAAACAAGCAATTTGAATTCCCGTCTAACATGTAACATTGATGCTGAAAATTTTTTTTTTTTAATTAAAATATTAAATCAAAAAAAAATTAATTATTATTATTTTAGCATTTTATATAGAAAATGGGTTTTAAACCAATTGGTGTCCATTGATTTGTAATTGGATCAAATGATTCGCATGAGTTTAGATAATTACTATCATAACCGCCGCACACATATATTTTGCCCATAAATGATGCACCCGATGCATACCATCTAAATTGTTTTTTTTGTATTGTAATATGTTTTTTTTAAAAAAAAACATTAAAAAATTTAATTAATTATTTGTTTTTTAATCTATACAATTTTTTCTATATATAACAAATAAAATGTTTAATATAAATGTTTTCAAAATTGAAATAAATAGTCAATATATCATAGTTGTTAAAATAGTTTTTTTTTTAAATAAAACTAACCTTTTAGATTTCATATTATCCATAGAAGTCCATTGTTGTGTTTTTGTATCGTATCTTTCCATTGAATTTAAATTATCATTATTTTTATTTTGACCTCCAATAGCATATAGATAGCCGTCGTGTACTACCAGTGCTAAACCAGATCTTTCTGTAGTCATTGGTGTAGCAAAATACCAGATATCGGTATTTTGCGTATAATATTCACAAGATTTAAAACTGACTTCTGGAAATTTTGTTTTTTAGAAATATTTATTTTAATCATTCAAATTAATTAACTAAATCATTTGGTTTGTATAATTAGAGATTTACACATTACTAGATCATGTTAAATATAATTATTAAATAAGTAAAATAATAAAAAAAATTATTTACCATTTTGTCCACCGCATACATAAATTGTATTATCAATTACTGCAGCATCAAATGAACTATAACAAATTAATTATGAAATTAATTATTAGGTAAAAAAATACAAAATATATGATAAATCTAAAAAATTACTGTCTTATTGTTCTCATCGGTGCAATTGATTTCCATTTATTTGTCTGTATATCAAACATTTCTACACTGTCTAAAACTTTTTCCTTTAGCAAGTTCAAATTAATTATTCAAAAAAATGTTAAAAACAACAATAATTATTATGCTTATTTATCACATCATACATTTAGACCTCCCATTGCAAACAATTTTCTATCATAATAAACCATGCCTAACCATTTTCGTTGAATGGACATGGATTGTATAGATTGCCAAACATCTGAATGTATGGTATATTTAAAACATTTTGAATCCCATAATAAATCATCTGTAGTTCCATCACATATATAAATAAAACTTTCCAATAAATTTTGTTGTAACTAATAAAAAATAAATAAATAAATAATTAGTCAAATTATAATGTTTAGTATTAGTATAATTATTATTAGTTACATTTAAAGCGTCTACATTATTATTATTATTATTATTATTATTATTATTATTATTATAGCAAATAATAGCATTTAAAATGATTAAATTATAAATTGAAAACATATTTTTTTGTTTCAAGTTTTATTAACTATAAAAAAATATTTTAATAATTTAATTATTGAATAATAACAATTTGAATGTAACATTAGCAAAAATAAAAAAAAAACTAAATTATTATTTTTATAATATCAATTTATTATTATTATTATTATTATTGTAAAATGATATTTTAATCAATTTGATTATATTTATTTTTTTATATAAAAATATTTATTAAAAACATTTAATATCAATAATAACTAAAGTTCAAGTGTTAATTAATTAGTTAATTAATTTTATTATTTGATATAAATATATGTAATTGATTATTTTTATATTTTAAGTATTTTTAATAATTAATTTTTTAAAAAATATTCTAATATTACGTTAATTGCATTATCTACTATACAAATGTTAATCTAGTAATTAATTACTTAATTAATAAAGTTATAAATTATTTAATTAATTTACAGTATATTTTCTATTCAAAAAATACATTCATATACTCTATAATATTATATATTGTATTAAATAATCGAAATATGCCGAACGGATCGGCCGGTGCTAAAGATAACAGTGCCGTGACTTTAGGCCAGTCCAACAATTGGTGATTAATACATTTACAATATGCTATCAGTTATAATTAAAAAATATTGTTTAAAAATTTCTAATAAATATTTTATTATATACTAATTTGTATTTAGTAAAAATTATAATATTAGTATTATTTGGCATAAATAAATATCTAATCAACCATGATAAATAAACTTTTTAAAAAAAACAATGCTATTTATTATGAAATATATGATAATATTTTTTTTTTGACAATATTTAGATTAATAATAATAATAGTAAAAATAAAAAATCCAACTAAAATATCTAGTTAAATTAAGTAACAAATAGTAAATTATTGCAAAATATAAAAATAAATGTAGTGTATATTATAAGCATAGATAAATTAAATAAATAAAAAATTAAGATTATAAAATTAATTTTGATTCAAAAGTATATTAGATATTGTTTATACAATAAGTACAGGCATATTATTATTTACTATATAATTATTTACAGTGGTTGACTATGATTGCAATTTTGATCCCAAACCACCAAAATTCAATCGTTTCCAAAATGATAATTGATTTGCATTGGGCACAGTAGGCAACTCTGGTACTGATGGCAACTGTTGATTACCGGTACCTGTGCTACTACCGGTACTGCCAATAGGTAACTCTAGTTTAGGTCTCTCTAATATCTCGCTTTCAGTATCATTGGATCCATCATCATTACCATCCTGTCCATCGGCATTAGTGACATTCTTATCATTTTGTCGGCGGCGGCGCCTATACCAAATCCATAGGGCAATCAAAAACAGTATGATCGCTACAACTATGGGAACCCAGGCCCATGTCCACGGATTGACACTTTTGCCACCTGGTTCTTTGTATTTGCACAGATAGGTACCATCAGAGCTTTCCTCATAGTTCGTATCGCATTTGCATTTTCTGAGTTTACCATCAGTAGGACAGTGCCGATAATAATCACCGTTTGACATACACTCGGAATTTGATTCGCAATTTTTAAATCGACACTTTTTTTCATCGTTAGTCTGGTCGTTATCATCGTCTGTGACAGGATAGTAGTCGGGTGCACAAAAACAACGGGTTTCAATACACACTTTGTTGTTGGTAGGACTGCACTCCAGGGAACAGGTATCGTTAATCCAACCGCGCACTCGTCTCGATAGTATAGTTTCAGTTGTGTATTCATGGGAAATGTCTACTGGTTTACAATTAATAGTACCGTATAGTATCAATGTTAAAACTATTGGTACTGATATAATGAATATCTAATAGATACATGTTTACAACAAAAAAAACTTAATTAAGTTTTTTGTATGTTTATAAATCATATATTATTATATTATTATTATTAATAATTATAACTATTAGTATTAAAATATAGAAATAATATTTCATAGTAATTTTTTATGGTATATTAAAATTGAATTTATATATTCAATAAAATATTTATATTATATATACTGTATATACCGTATATTTAAAATTATTAACAAAATAAAAATATTTTTTCCCCTTATTGTTTATTCATGTCAATTGTTTTCATAACTATTTATACATTTGTCCTTTTATTTTAATATAATAAATTTACAGTATTTTATCAAACTTGATAAATAGTTTATTAGCGTGTTTACAATTTAAGCATTATCACATTTTTATTTATTTACAATACAGTATATTCAGGGTTTATAATATTATTATAATATTTATAAAAAAAACAAATTAATTATTTCACTATTTAAATGTCATAAGTATTGCAAATTTATTTCAAAGAAAAGAAAGTGATTTTGTTATTTATCGGAATTTTTTTTTGTTAATTTAGATATTTTTTATATTTATAGATAATTTTTTTATAAATATTTTCATTCAATTATCATGAATAATGTGTTTTTAATCAATTATCTCTAATTTTTTTTTTAAATAATACTATAACTTCAAAACCAAATTCATTATTATAGACCTTGATTTAAAGTCAATCAAATTATTTTTTATTGTAATAAATCCTATTGTAAACAATAAAAATAATTTATTGTAAACATGATAAATGTTAACAACAACGAAAAAATTGACAATTGTATGCAGCAATAAAATAATTAATATAATACTTAAACAATAACAATAACAATAATAATAATAATAATAATAATAATAATAATATTTATATTTATAACATTACTTAATGTTACCGATGATAATAATAGTAAATTATTTTATAACAACGTGTATATTTGTTATGAACTTATAAGTTCATATAGTATAATTATCATTTATCAAAAAGTATTGTTTTTATTACAATGTTTTGAAAAATTACAAATAATAATAAAGTAAAAGTTGGAAACAACACAGAAAATTTTTTGACAAAAAATATAAATAAATTATAATTATAACATAAATAAATATAAAATTATATTTTATAGTTTACTGAAAAAATTTAAACATCAAATTTATAAAATATAAATTGCAACAATTTATCATTAAATGATTTAAGTTAAATAATAAAATTTAGTTGTAATATAAATATTTTCAAATTATTATAAAATTAGCATACATAATTTACTGTATATATTGCATTTCAAATGCTATTATACTTGTATAATACTTATACAGTATTAATGATAATGATAGTCTATGAATGTCATAAATGATTAAATGTTAGCAAATATATACAGTATATCTATATAAATAGATTAACAGAATAAAGTGTAAAAAATTAATTTCAAAACAATAACACACAATATATATAATAAAAGATAATTATTATTGTTATGAACTTTATATCAGTTAATACTATAGTAGACTAGAATATATTGTAATTAAAAAAATATATTGAAATATTGTTTTGTTTGCTATTATGAAATAATTGTTATTTTATTGTTATTATTATTATTTTAGATTAAAATATTACTTTAATATTTGTTTGTTTCAACTTTTTTAAAAAACATGTCAAATATCATGACATCGCTGAGTGGTTATAGTAATTGCGACAAAATAGCTCAACATTTGATAGAAACTATAAAACTATTTTACGTGTTTGACGACTGTCGCGGTCCAAACCTGTTGTTTGTTACCAATGACGACAAAGTCTACGCTCTGGGATCCAATCAATACGGGTCGCTAGGTTTGGGTCACAAACAACAGATCGTTGAACCGGTATGTGTGCCTGAGCTCAGTGGCCAACAGATACAACAGTTTGTCAACGGCTCGACATTTGCTATGGCCATTACCGGCAATCATCAGGTATTTGGTTGGGGACTCAACAGTTTAGGACAGTTGGCCCGGAATCGTACAGAACCTACTGTTTATCTAAAACCCGATAAAGTTATCTTTCCCGAAGACAGCGCGTCAATAGTTCAGTTAAGTTGCGGCCAATCGCATGTACTGGCATTGACAACCGATGGAAATGTATACGCGTGGGGTAGTAACAATAGAGGACAGTTAGGTTGCGGACTGTCAATGAAAGTAACAACAATATCGGATAAGCCAATCAAAGTTTCGTTTAGACTCGACAACGATCTCAATATCAATTTGATTTATTGTACACAAATGTCTTCCTTCGCCATAACCGGCGGCGTCGGCGACGGTAAGGGTCGGGTATATAGTTGGGGTGACAATAATTATCATCAATTAGGACATAGACACGAGTCATCGTTGGCCAGACCTAAGTTGATAAAAAAGTTAAAACACGTTCACTGTGTTTGCTACTCGTGGTCGGCGGGTGTCACCTATTTTCTGACCAAACGAGGAAAGTTGTATTATTGTGGTGGAGGTAGTAAGGAAGTCAACGGTTCACTATCGGTGGTATCGGTGATACATCCAAAATTGATCAAATCTAATCTAGCTGGTTCATCATTGAAATTTTCTACCATGTACCATTTACAATCGTATCAACGTCAAGAGTCGTTCATAAATCTAGTGACGGATAATAAAATTTATTGTCTAATAAATGGTACGGATATTTCAGAAACCGATTTCAATAATATCCGGGATTATTATAGACAAAGATGTCGTATGACTTTTGAAACTTACAAATACGTACATAATTATGATAATCATGAAAATAATAATAATAATAATAATAATACTAATAAATTAAATGTCAAATTAATTGATGATCTATTTGTCGATATTGTCAAACTGGGTGAGGGAGCATTTGGACAGGTATTTAAAGTTAGACAAAAATCAGATAACCGTCCGTTTGCTATCAAAACTATTTTGTTAGAAGGTATGTACAGTATGTAGTTATTTCACTGGATATTAATGTTGAAAATTACAAATTAATTATCTTTTTTTTAAAAATTAAAATATTTATCAATAATTTTAATTAAAAAAAAAAGATTTTTCCGATGAAACCAAACAAAAGGCATTACAAGAAGCTCAGGGGTTGGCAAATGTCAAATCCAAATACGTTGTCGACTACCGAAACTCGTGGATTGAAGACAATCAGCTGTACATTCAGATGGAGTATTGTAGTACAACTCTTGCAGATCTACTGCAAATGAGATCAAACATATTCAACAGATCCAGTGATCAAACCATGGATTCGCTGGAGTTTTATATGTCGTGCGAATTGTTTAAGGAAGTACTCGAATGTGTCCATTATATACAACATGAAAATATCATTCATCGGGATCTTAAACCAGAAAATTTTTTGTTTGCCGACATTCATCAACAACTATCGGCACAATATCTCCGATTGGGTGACTTTGGTATAGCTATCGAAGCTAACAGTTTACAGATAGCAGCCGGTACTCCCAAATATATGGCACCGGAAATTAGTAGGGGTTTGAAAGCTACACTAAAATCGGATATCTATAGTGTAGGCTGTATTGGTCAGGACTTGTTTGATATATGTCTGACTGAGTATGTATTTGTAGTGAATTATAATAATTAATATATTTATTTAAATTACAATAATTTTTAAAAAAAAATATTTAATTAATTTAAAAAAATAGTTCAAATCGTATTGGAAAATACAAGGATCACCAGTTGTGCAGTTATTTTCTAGAACTTAATAAACATTTGTCACAAATGGTTGTACAGGTGCCTAAAAAACGGCCGGAGCTCAAGACAGTTTTGGAAATGCATGAAAAATGGTCACCCGATAATGTTTTTGTTAAAAATGATGATAACTTTTCCAATAGATTAGATACTATTGAACAGTTAGATAGTGGAGGTCTATGCTATGAGTATTTAATAGATAAGCTACAACTAATTGATAACGACACTAATAATATTAATAATAATAATAATAATAATAAATTTGATATAATTATGGGTAATTTATTTCAACGTTTGGTCAATAAAATCAAATAAATTTTTATAGTAATACTAAATGTTTTTTTAAAATTTATTAATTATGATATATTTATACTATAAAATTACTTATATTATTAAAAAGCGTTTAATTATTGTAAAAAAATCAGTATTACTTGATGGACAATAAATAATTTCCGTACAATAAAAATACTAAAATGTTTAGTGGTATAACTTTCCTATCTTTGATATAAAAAACTAAATATTGATTAAATAAAAAAACTTTTAAAAACTCACACAATTTGTGACATATATTTAGCCTATTTTTGTTTTCGGCCTAAATTGCAATTAGCGGACAAATTATTGTAATATTTGTTTCGGACAGTAATTGTCTGCGCATTGCTGTCCACTATTGACAGCACTGTTGGTCTTTAGGTATTTACTGTGTGTGTGTGAGAGAGAGAGAGACCAAAAATATGATAATTTATATCATATTTAGTGCCATAAAAAATTATTTAGACTAGTATTCACACAGTTTTATAATATTTAAAGTTAAACATTATATTGAATAGTATAATACTAAACAACAATAAATATTTTGTCTTCTTTTGACTATTTTTTTTATTAAAAGCTAATTAATCCGCAAATATTAACACTCATTACATATTGTAGATATAATATAGTTATAATGTATATATATATTGTGTAAATACGATACTATGTTCACAGATACTGTAGGTATATAAATAGTTATCAAAAATTGGATTCATCTAAATTGATACCTAACTGTTGGATACTATTGGCAAAGACAGTCAACACTGGCGCCAACTCCTGATACCACGGATGACGTATGAGTGGTACGGCTTCGAGTACAGTGTTCAGGTCCTGCAGATATTGGATGCACACTGGACGACGATTTTGAAGTTCCGACTGTTGAGGTTTATGCGGATTTACCGGTAAGGCCAACACCTTAGCCAGAAGTAGCCACAACGATCGGGTCTTAAAACGAAAAGTGTTAGTAAATGCGGCCACAAAACCGAGTCCGACGGCCAAATGTAGGCTAATTAATATACTTGTGTTGGCTGTAGGCTGTGAGAGACGCAATAGTCTCAGCTCACGGATCCATTGAATCGACATTTTCTCGTAGTACTGCCGATACTGGCGTTTGATCATCTGTTTGGTCTCTTCAACTGTTCCGGCAATACGTTGACACTCGTCATCGTAGATAATACTATCGACAAGTATACTGTCCAAAGCTGCCCACATTGTGTCGATTGTACGAAACATTGGTACCCAACCGGGTTTGCACAATAAAAACTGTTTGTTAGACTTGATTAGTGCCTCCGTCTCCAGTGATGCCATTTTGCTGAGAAATTTGTTAGCAATGCAGACAATGGCAAAGCACTGGGCTTTTACCAAATAGTAGACCAAATAGTCTAAGATGTCGACACTGTATTCGTAGGCTGTGGCAGACAATTCAATAATGATTGGTAGCATATGGTTGTCAAATATTTGTCGACTATTTTGGCGGACATTTTCGATATTAATGCCAATCCAGTTGACTATACGTAGAAACTTTGTCCTCTGGTCACCCTGGTAGTTCCACCAGTGATACAGTTTGTTGTATTCACCGATCACTGACTGTTCAATTTGGATGATATTGAGTAGCGGATTGGTTTCGTGCGCCGGTTTTCGCCAATAGTTACCGTAAAAGGCATTAAAATTGGTATTCAATTGGTTGATATCGACTACAAACAGTCGATTCTGATAGATATCCCGGTAATGGTGTTCAATATATCCGAAGTCAAATATTTTATCAAAAACAATAGACGGCTCACTCCTATCATTGATATCTCTAAAATCGTTATAGCTTTCCATAGACACAATTGTTTGCCTCTGCCATTCGTAGGCCATATGATATATGCGCAACATATAGACAATCATTAGCTGGTGTTCCATGTGTTGGACACCGTTAGCTAACAACTGTTGTCCAATTAGCTGATAGGTCATCCATTGAGCCGGTTGTACATTAGTTAAATGATTTTCAAACAATTGATCCAAATAAAGGCAATGTTGTACCGCTAGTACAGCCTCGATGTCACTCTCGAGCTTTGTCGGCACCAATGACTCTGTCCAGCCGTTAAATCGATAGATTGTACAGAATATGTTCAACAATGGCGACACTTGTGCGGACACCATCAGCGGATTGCGGTCCTGACCGTCGTTTCTTAAAACCATTGAACGCATATTCCATACTAACTGTTCTGTCGGTGTTTTAGGCAAACTTTTGCTGTATTTGAAATCTTCGCCAAACATCCAGTCAATGTCCACTAAGTTTTGTTGATCGATACGATTGCAGCCCAAGCACTGGTATTTTAGACAATGATTTCGTACAATTTGGTTAAACTCTTTGCGCCACTCTTTACGATGATATTGTATATAAACAAAGTTAATGATTTCGGCCACAAAACCATGTAATTCAGTAAACGCTTGACCCAACTGACAAAAAGTGTCCACACATTCGCGGGTAAAATGATTGTCGTATAGTTGGTGAACCTGTGCCACCCAATCGGTCTCAAAGCGCAGTATATTATAGGCCAGTCCTAACATATCTCTGGGTACTGGTATTGCCAGTCTATAATCGTAAAGACTGAACTGATTGCTTCTTATTATTAATGAGTACTGTTTCTTATAGTCGATGGCATTGTTCAACAATCGGTAGACCGGTGTCGGCGGCAACTGGTCTGTCGGTGCCATTCGTTGACCTCTCAGTGTTGTACAAAATGCCGACACCATTACATACATTTCGGGAATGTGTGTCCAGTTCTTGAGATAAAACTGTTTGTGACACAATAAAAGAAACCGATAAATGGGACTGTAGTGGAAAAATGCTGTCCAATTGCACCACCGATCGCACAGACAGACACTGTCGATGGTTTTATTGTGTTTGATATAAGCGGTTTGTAGATCCCAGAGTTCTACGATTCCAGGCTGTGATTGACTGTCCGGCCAGTACGCTTCAGTTGTGTTGGGATTGATAGCTGACTTCACAATAACTATTTGATATTTTTGACTATCGTTTCGGTGTTCGGGTTCACACTTAAGACCAAATAACTGAATATTATTGCGCCAATGGTTGAGCCGTTCGTTCAACATTTCATACAGTGTTTGCATATGAAAGTAGTATATAAACTCATCGGTAGATCCCTGTTCTTCAATATAGCCACTGACCTCAATCTCTACAAACAGTTCTACTCCGTGACTAAATTGTATCCAATCACGGAAACCGTAGGTCGATATATGACAAAATCGTATGTCAAACGTACCGAATTGAGTACTGGGTGTCTGTACTGATAGCCGTATGCCACGTGTATCGTCCAGTCGGCGCTCAACATAGCTTCGGTAGCTATGATATCGGGTTATGTTGACGTTCCTCTGTTCCTCTTTGACTGGATTCAATTGGTGTACAGTCCTTTCCTGTTGAGTGTCACTGTAGTTCTCTACTGTCTGTACCGATATATATGGTATGGGCGCCGGTGTACGCAATCTAAGCATCGATATCTTTGTTATATACTTTTCAGTCTCCAAATGACCGCTTATGATGGCATCAATATTGGCCAGTGACGGGTCATTGATGTCGATGTTATACAACTGGCCCATATTGTAGCGATATTCGGCATATTTTTTATTGTAATGATCGGGTGATATCTGGTCGTAGCCGGCAAACGACATCCGAAACACTTTCAATGCCCGCACATATAATATCCACTTTATATTTGGATCTAACGGTCCGACACTGAGATTTTTACCGACAGACAGTTGCAACAGATCAATGTTGGCCACTGTTTTGATAACTTTATTGGGATTACCAAACAGTGGTATCTGTCCCGGTGTTGCCATTATTACAGTTTTTTGTTTTTGTAAAAAAAGATATAATTTTTACTGTTTTATAGTATAATTTGCAGTACTGTTATGTAATTTATAATATTTTTATAGTAATTTATGTAATATTAGTATATACTAATTTAAAACAATTATTTTTAAAAATCTCTCGAGAAAATTTTCTAAAAATTCAATTCAATTTTTAATACTTGTCTATAATTGACTTTTAATTTAATTTTACAATTTATTTAAATTCACATATATAATATTTTATTACATATATGTACTTACATTTTGATAGTTTTTAAATTCTACATTAATTTCAACATTTGTTTATTTTTTACATTCACGCATTTTTTATGATAAAAATGTATGTATTTTTGTAAATATTGTAATTGAATATATTTACGTTTTTTTATATTAAGGTTATTTTTGAAAAGTTATAATTATTATAAATATAATTAATTAATTTTTTAAAATCTTATTCAAAACAACTACTGCTTAATAAAAATAATGGTTATAAAGCATTAGTTTTGCTTTTAATAAATATTGTTTATATAATTTCAATTAAATATTGTTCAATATCATCATTAGAAAGAATAATATATTTTATATTATTAACAAATTATTGTAATTACCAAAACTTAAATAATTTTCATATTTCATAAAAATATTTAAAACCAGTTAAGAATGCTAGAAAGCATTTTCAGAAAAAAAACTTGAATAACATTGAAAACTATTAGTTTGTATAATTATAGCGGCTATATAATAACATATATAATTTAAAAACTGGTCAAATATACATAATATAAATATACTTATTTATGGTATCAAATGATTCAGTATGACAAAATAAACAACTATAGTCACGTGGGGTATCAAATGACTCGGTTTGACAAAATAATCAACTACTCATGTGTGGTATCAAATGATTTAGTATAACAAAATAATCATCTATAATTATACTTTTTCCGCTTATACTTATTCTTTTTGTTTCCGTAAATATCAAAATTTTAATGCATATTTTTTATCCTTGTTTTTGATGGTTTATTCAAATCTATACTTTAAAAAAATTTCTTAATTTTTTTTTATACTTTTGCCGCCATTTAAAAAAATTTATACTGATTTATTATATCATATTTTTGATACTCTTTACAATTCTAAACGTTAAAATTTTTACCTAATTTTTTTACTTTGGCCGCCATTTTCTTTATGTTCCCGAAGAGATATCAAAATTTTAATGTATATTTTTATTCTTGTTTTTGATGCTTTATTCAAATCTATACTTAAAAAAATTTTTCTTAAATTTTTTTTTACTTTGGCCGCCATTTTGTCTATGTTCCCGAAGAGATATCAAAATTTGAATTAAACTTTTCAATACATTATTAGTAGTCCTCTAACCGAATCTGAGGTCAGAATTTCAAAATTCGCAAAATGAAATGCTACACACACACACACA